TTACATGGTTTTATAAGGGTAACAATTATTCTAAAGAATGATATTCATCTGCCTATTTATAACACTGTTAATATACTAAACCAAAATTCATATACCACAGGTGTTACAGTATTAGCACTTTGCAACTTTACATTGCAAAAATAAAATACTCTACCCCATTAAGTTTATGGACTCTTAAATTACTGGTATGTTCTGCCTAAAATATTTATATGTTCTTATAACTATAACATAGTATATGGTTTTATACTACTAATGAAAGAATGTTCTATATTGTAGTGCCATAATGAGTTAAACAGAAATATTTAAGTACTTTTATTACCAACTAAATTCAGGTGTTGAAAACGGCAATGGGAGCCGAGCCCGGAACTATGTAACATCAGCAATCTTCATTAAAACGTCACAAATGTTGTTGCTACTAAGTTCTCTTGTTTTTAAGTTTAGATTACTAATTGCATTTCATTGTGTATTAATAATGAGCTTACTCCACCAATATGACAATTGCCTGGACAATCCAGTGTCCAGGCAATGACAACTGGAGACCCACAAATGTAAACAACATAATGGAGGCAATTCCTATGTGTATGCCAGTGACTGCAATGTTCCTATGAGCCTCAACATCATGGCAATGGCACTATTGGACGGCATGTGACATTTATGGAAAATTTGCGTAATATCTGTTATAGGGAGAGTAAAAAGATGGAGATCACAATTTAGCTCTTAAATATTGAGAGCATGATAGGGCACACACACACACACATCACTCATGTAGAGTATATATATAGAGTGTTAGGATAATAATAATTCGTAATGCTCTGGCAGGCTTCAGTTAACACACGTTACACATTATTTATGGCATAAACCTGAGCACAACACACCTGCTTCATTTGTGGAATGGATGACATGCGAAGCAAAGGTTTAGAGCATCAGTGGTACACATCTTGGCAGATAATATGCACACACACACATTTTCAAGAGCATTTTATGCTTTGATATTTAATACACTGCCTCACAATTAAACTACAGACACTCATTTCCAAAATATGTCAATAATTCCCCTTTTAACCAACATGGTATTAAGAACAAATTACTTGGAATGACATACTCCCAAAAGCACTTCATTACGGGTGATAAAGTCGAACTAAACAGAAAAATGCATTTCAAAGCCTGGTGACAAAATAATTACCATGCAGTTGTGTGAACACTTTATCCTGAAGACTCTAGTGTACTTGCATCACACACACACACACACACACACACACACACACACACACACACACACACACACACACACACACACACCAACAACACTGCCAGTACTTCAAATACCCTCATATGTAGTCAGCATCAGCTTGTAATTCTAACATGAAGTGATGGAAAGCTGAAACAAAATACAGTATAATAAATACACAAAATTGCATATTTAAATTAATAATGTACACAATCAACTATTTTTTAACTTTGGCATTAAGGCAAACACTTGTTTTCCTGAACTGGGGAGTGGAATATTTATAGGAATCAGAAATACAAATAATAATTTCAGGTATAACTAGTGTGGCTGTGGAAGAATTAGGATACAGCATTATGGCAATCACCGAGACTCGGGCACTAACGGTCAACACTTAATACAATCACACACTAACACTACGGAATGAGAGCAACACAAATATACAGTAAAAGAAATTGTACTAAAAAAAACTGGCATTAATATTGTGGAATAAAGACATATACTAAAATGCTGTAATTCCTTAGCTAAAACTTAATTGCATACAGTAAACTAAAATATGTATAAAATAATACAGTACTATGCATAATATATTTAATATTTACAATAAGATAGAATGCAAGAATCATTAGTAACTTATGAGGGATGGAATGGGAATTCCCTCCTTTCCCACGGTCATGGGAGATGGAAGGGGCCCTCCCTACCTTCCTATGGTCATGGGAGATGGAAGGGGGCCTCCCTACCTTCCTATGGTCATGGGAGATGGAAAGGGACCACCATCCCTGCACATGGCACAATGAGGTGAGAAATATAAACCTATAGCCGTAGCAACATGCTACAAGACATCAAGTACAGAGCTTTGGCATTGTGGTGGCAACATGAGATGTTAGGCAAGAACTTCACTAAACTATTACACATGCACTTCTCTACTATAGTAGAGAAGTGTACTACTTGTACACTTTTCCTCCATACCATCATGTTACATATACAACATTCTACTCTTCCATACCATCATGTAATGGAAGATGTTGTATATACATACAACATTTGATGCTTCTCTAACACGTTACACATAAAACATACAATATTCCTGCACTACTATCATATCCTTAAAACATTAAAAATTGCTTGGCAAAAATTAAAATGGCACTTATTTTCAAGTCTGTAAATAATATAGAAATTACAGTGATGCATATCATCAAAGACTGACCCAATATATTAAAAAAACACCACGCACACAATATTCATGGAGCTAACTTTTGTTCTTTTTTTAGATACTCATCAAAACCACAATTGCTAAGTACAGCACTTAAAATGTATTTACACAAGGGTCAGCTGGCATATATGGTTTACCAACATGGTCAACACATGACACAGGCACCAGTCTATGGCATCAACATTGGCACCACACTCACTCCTCATTGACAGTCCACAGGTCATTTGTAATTGCTTTTCTCTTTTCTTTTCTTTTTTTTCTTTTTACTTCATGTTATATCTCCCCAACCACATGGACTGGACAGTAGAGCGACGGTCTCACTACATGCAGGTCGGCATTCAATCCCCAACCGTCCAAGTGGTTGGGCACCATTCCTTCCCCCCGTCCCATCCCAAACCCTTATCCTGACCCCTTCCCAGTGCTAACTAGTCATAACGGCTTGGTGCTTTCTCCTGATAATTCCTTCCTTCCTATGACAATCAGGTACTGCAATTCGTCAAGAGAATTTCTGGATGTTTTGATGCTAATTGTGTTAAAATGGAGCTGACTTTGTCAATGACATATGGTGACAGTTTTCAAGTCACCACTTCTTACTCAAAGTTCCAAGAAAAAATAAGTATAGCCAAATTCTTCCATTCATCAAGGCAAATGTGCTTGTAAACACTGTAGCATTAGGTGTATCGACTTTTAACAATGTAAATTTCTTGTCCAAGTTCAACTTTAACCTAATACATATTGACTTGACTGTCTTTGAATGGTAAAGCTAGACAAATAACGTAGAAGTTGGAAGTATTATGTTAATAACGTAGGAAGCATGCAGACGATGAGTCACAATAACATGGCACAATATAACACAATATCATGTACTTGCTGTAATTGCTTGACCACTGTTGCTAGGTATGGAGTAGCAACATTGCTCCACACATGCACCAGACCACTGGTGTGGAGTAGCAACATTGCTCCACACATGCACCAGACCACTGGTGTGGAGTAGCAACATTGCTCCACACATGCACCAGACCACTGGTGTGGAGTAGCAACATTGCTCCACACATGCACCAGACCACTGGTGTGGAGTAGCAACATTGCTCCACACATGCACCAGACCACTGGTGTGGAGTAGCAACATTGCTCCACACATGCACCAGACCACTGGTGTGGAGTAGCAACATTGTTCCACACATGCACCAGACCATTGGTGTGGAGTAGCAACATTGTTCCACACATGCACCAGACCACTGGTGTGGAGTAGCAACACTGGTGATACCTTAACACAATGCAAATTTAAAAGTGTGCAAAAGCTTGTTATTACTAAGCCTTATAAATTTGTGGTTCCAAGCACTTCAAACATCTGTGAAGATAAAATAAATGTGTTGAGTAAATATTAGAGCAGCAAATAAATTATTATAAGCTGGGACAAGTAAAGCATAGTTTAGCCCGTGTCGGCTGCACCCGCATCACAAAGGCTGCACACACAAAGCACAAATCACTGGGCTAATAAAGCGACCAAAATAATGCAGTGGTATATGTTTACCTTCCCCTCTCGATGCCTGTCTTCCTTTTAAGAAGCAACAAAAACACAACTTCACAAGCAGGTCTGTCTAAACAGTTTTTTAGCTTCCTCAAAGCTCATCGTAGACCAATGGGCACTGCTACTATATTTACATTGGTTACTCATTCCTATCCATCTGCACAACAACACACGCACACACCCACTTGAAGGCACACGCACACAGGTCTGGTAGCTGAGTGGACAGTGCGCGGAACTCATAATCCTGTGGCCTGGGTTCTATTCCTGGCGCCAGGAGAGACAAATGGGCAGTTTCTTTCACCCTGATGCCCCTGTTACCTAGCAGTAACAGGAGTTAGACAGCTGTTACGGATTGCTTCCTAGGTGTGTGTGTGTGAAAAAAAAATAGTAGTAACAGTTGATTGATTGACAGTTGAGAGGCGGGCCAAAAGAGCAGAGCTCAACCCTCGCAAGCACAACTAGGTGAATACATGTAAGCACATTTCACACACAAACAAGCGCAAAACTATTAAGTAAAAACTTAAATGTTTAGAATGAATAATAAAGGAATGGGAGAGAACAACATACAGCAACAAGAGGATGTGTACAGTGTACAGTTCTAGTGCCAGTGTTGACCACGAGGCAGTGCCAGTGTTGACCACGAGGCAGTGCCAGTGTTGACCACGAGGCAGTGCCAGTGTTGACCACGAGGCAGTGCCAGTGTTGACCACGAGGCAGTGCCAGTGTTGACCACGAGGCAGTGCCAGTGTTGACCACGAGGCAGTGCCAGTGTTGACCACGAGGCAGTGCCAGTGTTGACCACGAGGCAGTGCCAGTGTTGACCACGAGGCAGTGCCAGTGTTGACCACGAGGCAGTGCCAGTGTTGACCACGAGGCAGTGCCAGTGTTGACCACGAGGCAGTGCCAGTGTTGACCACGAGGCAGTGCCAGTGTTGACCACGAGGCAGTGCCAGTGTTGACCACGAGGCAGTGCCAGTGTTGACCACGAGGCAGTGCCAGTGTTGACCACGAGGCAGTGCCAGTGTTGACCACGAGGCAGTGCCAGTGTTGACCACGAGGCAGTGCCAGTGTTGACCACGAGGCAGTGCCAGTGTTGACCACGAGGCAGTGCCAGTGTTGACCACAAATGTAACACGTGTGTTCTTATTACACAAACTAAAGATGTTGTCCCAGCTTCACATACACAGCTGGTCAGCTAAGTCCTGGACACACTACTCAGGTTTTCTTCCAAGATATACACAATATTTAAACACCACCTAACAGATGTTACAAGTAAATAATAAACAAAATATTCATTACATATGATAACATTCAACCTAATATTATGTAAAATATACTTGGGAACATGCATATTGACAAAGGATAAATATCCTTAAACAAAAAATTCAAAATTATATCATAATGAACTGAACACATCAAGTTAAATAATATGTTTTTATACTTTTCTAGCAAGAAACTACAGACACATTTCTATCATAATGTGATATGTCACTCAACATCAGTCACCTGGCTAAGCCACTTTTTTGTGTCAACAAAACTAACCCTGTTGTTGGCCTCAACAACAATATATTTCTTGACTTTTTCACACAACTGTGACAAACAATTTAGAATGTTAAAACTGTGATGAGTCTGCAATTTTAATTGCAATGAATATAAACAAACTAATTTAATGGAAATACCAATCAACTTAGAAACTATAGTAGCCGTAAGTTGCAATCAGCATAGAAACTATAGTGGCTGCAACTTGTACTCTAGTGCATAAATTATACTGTCTTATTTAATAATTTGTTATATTACAATGCTAGTGCAAAGTGGCTACATGTTCAGTGTTTATACTCCCATCTACAGCATATCTTCACAGCAATTTACAGTACAATTACTTATCAGTCCAGTTAGCAGAATAATCTATACTGAACAGATAACCATCCCAGAAAATACTAAGACAGCGCAGATAGCAGTCAGGGGGACAAACTAAGACAGTAGGTAATAGCGCACATAAAAAACAGTAATTGCTAGTACTAGTCAGTGAAGAGCCCTCAAAACTGCTAGAACCATTATGAGTGCCCTGAAGCCTATTAGGTCATTATAACAACTATAGATAACATTTAGCAAACTGCTTTCATTGTGAGGACCTGCATCTATTGTATTTTACATTAGTAGGTGATATAGTTGATCAGTCACCACTTGACTGCAAGGAACAAATAGACAAGTGAGCACAGAGTGAGAAACATTAAGCGATGGTGTCGTCACCCTACCCTAAACCCTCCCACATGGAATCAACCCAGTTTTGTTAAGAAATCAAGTCATTTATTACTGAAGTACATTATTACACACACATTATGAGATTCACATTAAAGCATTAACCAACAACTGGGAAAATTCACATGTATATATCGTAATGTGGCCGGCCTCTCCAAGAGACTACACATTTGGCTTATGAAGGTATAGATCTCCTCAACATACACCCAACTTTCATTAAAACATCATTTTGTCAGGAGGTGCTGAGGCTGTTATTTGTATATACGGTATTTACTTATACCACATAATGCATAAGTATCTTCAGCATTATATTGCCTTACTACTATTCTGTATGATATACACCATTTCCCATAATCCAAAAGTCTGGCAATTGTAGTATTCTCTCAACAATAACAAAATAATCATTTACATTTTTTCCACATTGACAGCTAATGGCAATGTCCTCTCACCCTATTCCTCCACCTTAGCCTGTCTCATACGGTTGCCCACCACTGCTCTACTTCAGTACATTCCTGTCATTAATCTGTAAGCACCAATTCTATATGTGCCCAATCAATCTAAATGTTCTACTCCATATTTTTACACTGTCCTCATCATCTCTTTTTACTTACTAGCAGAAGTAAAGAACAGGAAGGGGAATTAATTATAAAAAACAGTGATATATACCTTGCCTGCAGCTTCACTTCAAAAATGATTTCATTCAGTTTATGTCTTTTCTACATAATAGGCTATTCATGCCCGTGTCACCTCTTGGGTGGATTAATCTTCATCAATCATCTTGCCTACACAGAGAATAACCATCATTGTACATCTCGCCCACACATGATTAAAATCAGTATACATCTTCACTACATATGTTCATCTATGTAAGAACTTCACTATGCATAACCTCCATTATCATAAGACCTTCACTGCACAAAATTTTCACCTTGGCAATGCTTAAGAGAAGATGTACACATGTGTACATATGGTCAACCTTCCCAAGCTCCCAGAATTCCAATCCTCCCTACAGAACCTAAATTTTACAGCCACTGGCCTCATCCTGAAAGCATTCTACCATCATATACCAACAAATGGCTACTAGAGGTTAACTCAATTAAGTGAAAAATAATGAAAATTGTGGTAGGTAGCAGGAGGCTGGACACAAGGTACCAATTGGAGGATGAAATCCTTCAAGAATCAGGTAGAAAGATCTGAGGATTGTTATCACACTGAACCTGTTCCCTGACACCCCACATCAAAAGGATATTATCAGTAGCATATACTTGGTTGGCCAACATAAGAACTGCTTTTAGAACTTGTGCAAGGAATCATTCAGAGCCTTGTACCATGTATGTACCATGTACCATTCAGAGCCTTGTACCAATTCTGGATTATGCAGCTCAAGTATGGAGTCCATTCCTAGTCAAAAACCAGACAAAGAAAAATTTCAGAGGTACAACACCAAGCTATTCCTGGAGCCGAGAGGTATGAGTTATAAGGAAAAGCTACTAAAATTATATCTCACATCATTGGAAGACAGAAGAGTTAGGAGAGACATGATTACCACCTACAAAATCAATGCCAGAGCTCGCTGTCAGCAACACACACACACTACCCATGCCAGAAATGTTACTAGTGGTGTACCACAGGGTTCAGTTCTAGCACCAGTAATGTTCATTGTCTATATAAATGATCTACCAGAAGGAAAACAGAATTAAATGAATATGTTTGCTGATGATGCCAAGCTACTAGGGGAGATAAGACGCTTTGACAATTCTTGTGGCCTTCAAGAAGACCTGGACAAAATAAGTATGGAGCAACACTTGGCAAATAGAATTTAATGTGAATGAATGCCATGTTATGGAATATGGAATAAAATAGGACACACAACCTACAAATTACGTGAAAAGGCTTTAACTCCAATAAACAAGAGAGAGCTAGAGGAGGTTCTGGAGAGACAACTGTCACTTGAGGACCACATAAACATTGTGCAAGGAACCTATACTATGTTTTCCAAATTCAAAATTGCTTTTAAATACATAGATGGCAAAATATTAAAGAAATTGTTCACAACCTTTGTGAAACTAAAATTGGAATAAGCAGCAGGTGTATGGTCCTGATATCTCAAGAAGCCCATCAATAAACAGGAAAAATGCAAGACATGCAACTAAATGTCTTCCAGAACTGAGAAATAAGAGCTACAAGGAAAAGCAAGAGGTGCTAAATATACCAAAGCTAGAAGATAGAAGAAAAAGAAGTGATATGATCACTACGTACAAAATAACAGAAATTGACAAAATTGACGAAGAAGAATTCTTGAAAATTGCAACTTCAAGAACAAGTGGTCATAGATTCAAACTAAGAAAACAAAGCTGCCCAGATTTTTTTTTTTTTTTTTTTTTAGAAAATTCCCTTTTGCAAACAGAGTGACAGACGGTTGGACCAAGTGGTGGTGGGAGGCCAAAACCATCAGTAGCATCAAAGCATCACGTGACAAAAACTACCGGTAAGATGGTACACCATGAGCATAGCTCTCATCCTGTTATTACACTTAGGTAAGATGCCCAAACCACACATCAGAAAGTGAATAAGTGACGACATTTCGATCGTCGTTTCATTTTTACAAGCCTTGATAACGGTCCAGGACGGAGCGAAACATCATTTCTTCACTTTCTGATGTGTGGTTGAGTCATCATATCTTCAGCCATGTTATTGTGACTCATCATCTACACTTAGGTAATTACACTCTCAATGTTAACCTCAGATGTTTAGATGATCATATGTATGAATATATCAATGAATGTATGTGTCAATAAATGATGAATGATTCAATACTTAGGAATGAAAGAATGTATGAATTTATCTATCAAATAAATGAATGTATCAATGTATATATCAATGAGTAAATGAATCAATGAATGAATAAATATATGTATCAATATGAACTAAGGAAATTGCAGAGGGCCTATTGGTCCATACGAAACAACTTCTCTTTAATCCCTGATGAAAAGAGGAGCATGGGTTAAAAGCCGAGTATGGGTCAATAGCCCTTCTGTTGTTCCTTTATTCTTATTTTCAAATAATGATTGGTTGACTTGGTATACTTCATTACTACCATATAGAGTTCTGAAAACCATATGAACATAAATCAGTATACATTTATTGTAACTATAATGGAATTTTATACCACGATAATTACCACATTGGCAAAGAAATATTTGCCACAATAACTGCTTTTGCAAAGCACGCAATCACGAAACGATAGCAGGAGTTTTCATGGGGTCAAGGTAAACTTCACTACACCCATAGAGAGCCATTATATCCATATTAGCATCATTAATGTAAAACCTAGACAATAGAAGTATAAATCAATCTATAATGATTGCCATATTGCCCCATAAATCAATATGATAACTGAACTTTGAGGATTAATATTCAGAACAGAATACTTATTATGTATCATAACATGATGTATTTATCTACAGTTAAATAAAACTAATTCAAAATTTCACGAGTTAATCTAAGACTCTAGGACAAAACAGTCAAGTAAATGATCTAAACAAATACATTATAAGTGGTACACAAAAATCTAATAAAAGTTTATGTACCATACTTATAAATCAAAGAATTTTAAAAGTTGATATGCTGCCTTCACTTTAGAAACATGTTTTATATAGGCATACAACTCAAGTGCTTCTCTATCAATCCACTGAAAGTACTTTCCAGCATACGCACCACAAAATAACCCCGGCTCATGCACACTGCATGTTTATCATTCCCGCTACTCCTTACCTCAATGTACAAACCATCACTGCAGTTAAGACTCAGTGGTCTAATTAAACATATACCCTTGTCTTGCTTAAAAGGCTGTAGAGACAACACAAGAGAGTAGATCTTACAACGGAATTCAAATGCCACACAAAAGGCTGTAGATACTACACGGGAGGTAGTAGATACAACACGAGACACTATAGATGCCATATGAGAGGCTGTAGATGCCACACAAAAGGCTGTAGATGCCACACAAGAGGCTGTAGATGCCACACAAGAGGCTGTAGATGCCACACAAGAGGCAATAGATACAACACGTGACACTATAGATGCAATATGAGAGGCTGTAGATGGATCATGAGTGGTGTAGAAGCAACCTTAAGGTGTGGCAACCTCTAGTTTGGCATCTACTAGAGGCTGACGATGCCACACAAGAGGCTGTAGATGCAACTTTAGAGGATATAATGTGCACAAAAGGCTCTGGCTGCAATAATCGAGGCTGTAGATGCAACACTGTGTCTGCATACTAAGACTGTGGATGCATACTAAGAGACTAGGTGCAATACAAGTGGCAGTAAGGTAAGGTAATTATCAAAAGAAGGCACCAAACCGGGAAGGCTATGTAGCACCATCAAAGTGCGAAATAATCAGAGGGCGCTAAATATCACCAAGAATGCCAATACGAGAACAAAAATGCATAAGGCGAACGATATCAAAAGTATCTACAAGTGGCAGTAGATGCATATTAGAGGCTGTAGATGCAACACAGTGGCTGTAATTAACACATGGCTACAGATGTGTACTAGAGGTTGTAGGTATAACACAAGCAGTTGTAGATTCAATATGAGAGGTTGTAGATGTAACATGTAAGGCTCTTGATGCACCATGAATTGCCGTAGATGCATATTAGTGGTTGCAGATGCAAAAAGATAGGCTGGATATGCAACATGAGAGGTTGTAAATCCAATATGAAAAGTTATAGATGCAACAGGAGAGACTGTAGATGCAACATGAGGATAGCCTAACCTATCTAATCTGGACCATACTAATAATTATGAATTACCAGAAATATTAAAGAATTCTTTAAGCTGAATATTCATGATGCTGATTATAGGTTTACTCTTGCTATAAGACCAAGTTATTACCATACACTAAATAAAACTGGTTAAAAAATACCTACATAATATTTGAGAAATTTCATTTACTCATGTGGTGTGTAAACTGCAAACAATATAGGGTATTTTGAACTATTATTTTTAATACCTTATATCATAGCCATTTGTGAATTAATAATTAACTAGCTAACGAAATTACTAAAATATTGATAAAAATTCATGGGATTGAGATTAAGACTAGATCTTTCCTTGTTGTGTACTGGCTCAAGTGTGTTTGAGTGTGTGTGTGTGTGTGTGTGTGGGGGGGAGGGATGAGGTTAGGGGTCACTGCCATGCATTAGGTGGCAACATTGGCCGAGCCAGGTTTGTTCAAACGTGACACTTGCTTTAGGGTTTTTGATCACTCTCTTGAGAAGAACGCTACAACAGAGACCTCCATACAGGGTCACAAAGCACCGCATTAGGAAACCAACAACTTTAACAATTGCAAGGCATGTACTGTGTATCACACACACATAAGTACAAGAGGACGGAGAGTTCTGCTGATAGTTATGCGAGAACATAATATACTCTACGCAAACATTCTAACATTTTACTACCCAAAAATAAAAAACTGGAGTAAATTCCTCACAAGAAAGTGTCATCATTAAATAAGAGTGTTGCGTTGAAAATCGAACATTATTATTATTCATACTCTCGTACTGTACTTAAAATGAAGGTGTTTCAACAGACATTGTTAACATTAGATAAAATTTTCACTTGATAGTCAAAGTTCAGTAATAGGCCCAACGATGGTTACTCCAGGAATATGCCTGGAATCTCTCTCACTTGTTCCCTGTTGTCGGTGATGATGCGGGGAGGCACTAGGTGTGTGACCTGAGGATGTAGATAGGCTAGATTGATTTGAATGAACAGGGATAACCTGAACTGGACTGGCTTGCACTGTTGTGGAATGAATGAGATTGGCATGATTGTTATGGCTGGGATTGAGGGTGGATAGAGGACTGGTGGTGTGATGCAACACATAACTCGAATGCAAGTTTGTTGAAGAATGATTTGAGGTATTGGGCACGTCTCCTCTCCTCCATGATGAAGCTGAAGCAGTCTCCACAGACTCTAGGGATGACAGACTATCCTTTGGCTCCCCTTCTGAGGAGGTTGATGCAGCAGGATTGCGCTGTCCTGAGTTAGGAGATCCTTCAGTAGGTGGACCATGAACAGTGAGGTCAACCAATGTCAGCTTTGTGCCATCCTGTCGTGTATTTGGCTCTATAGCACTTAGACCATTCACTTTCTTGCGAAGAACATTTACAAGGCGCTCCAAGCGTGTGCACTGGTCATGCAGCTGCCACCTCGAAACTTCACTTTCTCGTAATTGTGTGCAAAGGCCCTCCATGTACTCAGCTGAGACACGACCAACACCTAAAACCAACAAATTTGTTAGGTGCAACATAAGGCATTACTACAATATTGCAAAGTAACAATGTCAATTACTCTGTTACAAATAGTTACAGGTACAGTATAAGAACTTACAGAGCTACATTTAAGATAAAAATTAGACAATAATAATAAATGACCAAACTAAAACTGAGACAATGCATGATTATTTTACCTTGAGCTATTCCAGCCGCACCGCCTTCACCTCCCTCATGCAGTGTGTGGTGGATGGCTGTGGCCAGGCGGAGTGTGCGTAGTTCATCCTCCAGGGTGGCCAGCTGAGCAAGTGTAGCAGACTCCCGGTCGCCGAGGGACCGCTGCTCCAATCCCTGGTTACCCACAGACTCTACTTTTCATTTCCACATCTCAAATTTGCCAAAAATTAGCTACACTGGAATTTAATACTTGTCTTTTTGTACATATTTGTTTTGATTTTACAGGACTTTCTACATAATGAGCAAAAAAACAAATATATATTAACAAAACTTTCCATACAGAAATGTTATATAGATGCAATAAATTTAATTAAGAATGTTATACAAACGCAAATAAAATAGACACTTAAAATGATCAAATATGCATCAATTTACAGATCAATATTATAAAGGGATAAGGAAAACCTTAATAGTGAGGAGCATGCAAACACACGACAAATAGGGTGCAGAGCTGTCTCGGGAAGCACCACAGGCACCACACAGCTGCCTCGTGCCTGGCAGCCAACCACAGCAGCAACACACCACAGCCCAACCATCACCACCGCACCCCCCACCCACACCAGAAAGAAACCAGGTTTGTTAGAGTTGTCTTACGAAAGAACTTGTCTTCATCGCAAGTTTTTAAGCCATTCTAAGATGGAAGTGATTCTGTAGATGAGAAAATAATGAGTTATGAATAGTGCATCAAATACATAAGATTATAGCCAGATTATAGAGTAAGTTATCCTACAGGTACCTGCAGGTCATCTACTGAGATTTTACTCGGACTACCGATTGATGTATGCTCGAGGGGTAGAGCCACACAGTACAAAGCAGGGATGCCAACACTATCATGCAGTTCCAGAACATTAGAAAGTAATAAGCCACATGCATAATTACTAGTGCCTAATTTTCATGCAATAGATGCAAAAACAGATGCCTAATTTTCATGCTATAGATGCAAAAACAGATGCCTAATTTGACCCTATAGACAGTGCTCATAGAACACTTACCGGTATATATATAGAATGCACTTAGTTTGTCTCCTATCCTCCTAGCTAAAGAGGGAGCTTCACACAGGGTAATGAGATAGACAAACGGCAAATACAAACGAGAAACAGTTTGTTTCAATACGAATTCACCACACAGCAAATATATAAAGTAAATGTTTAGTGACTAGTACTGTTAGACACAGATGAATAGAAGAAATAGGGGTGCAGAGAAGTTGAGATATCAGACAAGTGTTGTGTCAGAAACAAGTGCAGTATTGATAAGAGCTATGGCACCAAAGAAGATTGGCATCAATAACAGCTGCCAGCAGGAGCTTGGCATCAAGAACAGCTGCCAGCAGGAGCTTGGCATCAATAACAGCTGCCAGCAGGAGCTTGGCATCAATAACAGCTGCCAGCAGAAGCTTGGCATCAATAACAGCTGCCAGCAGAAGCTTGGCATCAATAACAGCTGCCAGCAGGAGCTTGGCATCAATAACAGCTGCCAGCAGGAGCTTGGCATCAATAACAGCTGCCAGCAGGAGCTTGACATCAATAACAGCTGCCAGCAGGAGCTTGGCATCAATAACAGCTGCCAGCAGAAGCTTGGCATCAATAACAGCTGCCAGCAGGAGCTTGGCATCAATAACAGCTGCCAGCAGGAGCTTGGCATCAATAACAGCTGCCAGCAGGAGCTTGGCATCAATAACAGCTGCCAGCAGGAGCTTGGCATCAATAACAGCTGCCAGCAGGAGCTTGGCATCAATAACAGCTGCCAGCAGGAGCTTGGCATCAATAACAGCTGCCAGCAGGAGCTTGGCATCAATAACAGCTGCCAGCAGGAGCTTAGCATCAATAACAGCTGCCAGCAGGAGCTTGGCATCAATAACAGCTGCCAGCAGGAGCTTGGCATCAATAACAGCTGCCAGCAGGAGCTTGGCATCAATAACAGCTGCCAGCAGGAGCTTGGCATCAATAACAGCTGCCAGCAGGAGCTTGGCATCAATAACAGCTGCCAGCAGGAGTTTGGCATCAAGAACAGTTGCCAGAAGGTGCTGGGCATAATAATGTGGATAGATACCGATATACAGTACTGTATCATGATTTACAATTTTTTTTTTTTTTTAGACATGTATGACCTGTATCAGAAGGTTGCCTGCTGACACCTTGAGTCAGCACTATGTATCTTCCCTGTACCCAGTCCCTCATCTGTCTCAATCTTTGAAGCAGTTCTCTCTACAATCTAATCAAAGCTTTTAACACATCTGATAACAAAACTCAAAACATTAAACAAATAATAATAATAATAATAATAATATTGAACAGTAAATAAGTCATATTTTTGGATTAACCTAGACCTCACTTCAGTATTGATCCTGGCATCTGTACAGCAGTGAATATCTTAGAAGCCATTATTAGTTGCACCAAACTAGGCCAAGCTCAGCAAGTTTGGGCAGTGGCTCGCTGGACACGTCCATTCCCCCCTTGCAAGTACAACTAGGTGAGTACAGTTATTAACTACCAGGGATTTGTTTCAACACTCGGTGATACCATAATAAAAATATTACAAGAAAAGCAAACATTTGGATCTTAAAAATTATTAATTTGTCATATAATTTGAGAGCAAAAGATGATCGTATCCCAGAAATGAATGTGTCAGTGTGGATATAGAGAAGTGTGAAGGCTTTTGTGCAGTAGAGAAATACCATACCTGTTCCAAGGTTCACATACCATGCATCTTCACTACTCCAGCCAAGCACTTCTCATTTCCCTTGTACAGAAATTTGGAGATATGTAATAACATTAAATGTAAGCACTCGTAATACATTTCTATTACTAAAATGTATTGTGGAAGGTACATCTCAGAGTTGAGGAAAAGCAGAATACACCAAGCTTTCATTCAGTGAGTGAATAGTCTAATCCCAACATTGTCCGTGCCATCACCACAGATGCTTAAAATGTACCAACATCGGTACCTGTGTGTAGGCTGAAGGTGCTGATGTATATGCAGCACCTGAAGAAACTGATGACGGCGTATAATCATGAGACCTACGATGGCGTCTGTCACTCCATCTCGGGGAACTGGTGCAGCTACTATTGCCACCAGATGGCAGATCCTGTAAAAGGTGTAAATGAATATCAACTGGTGAATAAAACCATAAGAGCTCACTCGCCAACACTGGCCACAACTGAGGGAGCTTGAAAAGAAAGCAAGAATGCTGACTAGCATTGTATAACACTTGTCAGTCTATTTGATTCTAGGTGTTGCTTGAAGGAGATGTTGTGTACAGTTTAGTGTAATGTATATTTTGAAGGTCATACAGGGATGAATTACAAAAATGTTTAATGTCTCCTTTCCTCCAAATGGTTTCAGATCTGAACAAAAATAACCAGCATTGAAGTGGACAAAATTGTACTAACCCAAGCTGGATTTATGCAGTCTCTGGGTAGAGGGAGTGTGCCTAAGGAGCCAACACAATGGCCTTAGCTCAAAAATATATATTGCTTCCCTAAACCTCCCCCGTTTCCCCTCTTCCCTCATCTTTCCCCTGTTCCCCTTCTCCCTCATCTTTGATCTGTTCCCTTTCTACCTCATCTTTCCCCTGTTCCCCGTCTCCCTCATCTTTCCCGTGCTCATCATTTCTCTCCCCAATTCTTACATCTTCACTACACACTATTTTCACTGTACTGTATATACTATCTTCAGCACCATAACTGTCTTCACTACTCACTATTTTCATCACTAAGCATCTTTCCTACTCAGTATTTTCATCACTGTAACCCATATGAATTCAGTTTATGAAAATGCGTAGTAAATTCTACAGAAAATGCATCCACAATTTCAATTCAGACTTCATGAAAATTGCACAGGGAAAGGAAGGAACGTTACAGACTAACATTTCTTAAAAGTATTTAGCATAGGCCGACCATGAGTAGCCTATGTTCATCCTATATCCTAGACAGTTTCCCATGCAAAGGTGCGAGCCTAGCAAAAAGCATCTGGCCTCCAACTTTGGACAGACAGACACATTCTCTTTTAAAGTATAGATACTTAAATTGTTATCTCACTCCACAAATTACAAAATTACAAATATATGAATGATACAAGTACACCAAATACAAATGAAAGATTGAGTCCAATAATACATGAACATTCATATGCAACAAAAAAAAAAAGAGGTTGTTGTCAAAATTAAGAAAGTGAATTTAATTTTCGTAAGTGTAAATAAAAGCCAGCAGGCATAGGGATAAAGAAACTAAATTATCAGTGAAAAGTTGATGATGAACAGTACGGTATGGCAAAACACACAACATTACTTAGGTATAAAAATATACAAGAAAAACCCCAAGGCTTCATCATACTTGTTCTGCAGCATCAACATTGGTGGTGGGTGCACCAGCTCCCCGAGGCGAGAGACTCAGCCTCTCCATCATCACTCTGCTGTGAGTGAGAGCTGCATCTCGCTCCTCGTTGGCAAGTTTAATTCTCGCCATCATGGCCTCATCTCGTACTTTCTGAGCCGCATGGATCTGACCAACCATCTCTGAAAAGTACACACACTTATCTTATTCCACACTTCCCATCAAAATGGGCAAACTTTTTTCTATCATAATGGCTATATCTGACTAACAAATACAAATTTTGAACAAGAGTTACAAAAAGAATGTTTTATTTAACCAGGGTTGTTAGCAAGAACCAACTGCTAATTAAAATATATGCTTACAAACTGCTCTACCTTATACCATACAAAAACAAATGCAACAAATTTATTCATAATGTCTTTAGTACATTTTTAGTTTGGTTTGTTTACATGTTTTTTTTTTTTAAATATATACAAGAGTTGTTACATTCTTGTACAGCCACTAGTACGCGTAGCATGTGAATTATTTACCTAAGTCATGAAAACAACGTAACACGAATGTATGATGATGAGGATACAATGTAAAGAACTAATATAAACTAATCATTCAATGACATTATAAAAAAAAAAATCTGGGTTTAAATATACTGTACATGAAATGCACATTATTATAGAAAAAAGAAAAATGATATTGAAGAGCCCAATAGTGGACCTCATAAAAGTACAAGAAGCCCTATGATGCTAGCTAAGCTCCCTATACAGGTGGCACTAGATTCACCCTTGTAACTCAATATGGGAAGATATGCATAGAGGAACCTGGAGATATCCTTATTATATCTAGGGCCAATCCTCTGCATGATGAGGGCAGGAAGCCAAACCTGACTGGGCCACCACAAGACCAGGGATTTGAACCAAAACGTAAATGGCCTCAAGGTAGTAAGCAAAAGCATGCAGCCTATAAAACTTCCGGCAAAAATTATCTTCCACTGGTTCTGGTCAAAACATATTGCATCTTCTCCAAAAGCACTGCGATTGTGGAATGGTAAAATAAAGAGTGCTCACATATGGTTTTCTGCAGATGCAACCAGATTCACATGAAGACTGCTCAATGTGCTGCAAATACAAAAAAATCAAAAGTATTGTCTAGTTCCTCCACCATTTACGTGGACATAACTGGGACAGAACATACATTAGCATATACGTCATTCAGCTAACGTAAAAATAAACCTGCTAAACTGGGCTCCTCAGGAGAAAGATGTATTTAAGCACAGTCCAAACAGTTGCATATCACAAAAATTGATGTGAAGCTACAAAAATATTTACAACCAGCACCCCTAACCAGCATGATAAAAGCTAGAAAAAACCCTTCAACATACATCAGACATGCCAGTAAAAAGCTTAAGGAAAAGGAACTGACTGTCTTAAATGGACCAAAGCCAAAAAAGGCAGGGAGAGGAAACCACTGAAGAGGAAATCCTTCAAGACTACAAAGAGCCTGCTAGCTGTGAATCTTGAGTTTCCAATGACCATGCAAGTGGAAAACTGATTACATATCTTCAGCCAGAAGTGGCCCCCCCCAGGTGACACCATGGTGACCCAGCACCATGGTTATAGACACCCAGTTAGGTTCATAAATATGCAGTACAGTACCTGCTATTGCTCCAGGCTGAAGACCATTCTCAGTGTAGGAGTCAATCGAGGCTTTTAGAACTTGAACATCCATTTTGGCTTGGTGCAATTCTGCCATCAGCTTTCTGTTATTAGCCTTTGTTGCATTTAGCTCTGCCACAAGTGTCTGAATAAATCTCCACTGCACTTCTAAAGCATTGATTTCTTCAGTCTCGCCTTCACTCTGCCCACTTTCTTTAATATTGTCCATAAAGCCACTCTCTTTACCAGACAGACTGACCCTGGGCCTGTGTTTTACTCCTCTTTTCTTGGGAGAGTATGCATGACTGCTGCCCAGACAGCTTTGGGCTTGTGTTATACATGGCTCACTCATGTGTCTGCTCATATCCTGATGTTTACGTACTGGTTCATGGTCCTCACGAGGGAGGGGAAGGCTGCTGTAATCTATGGCACCTGTAAGTTTACAGTCTTGTTGTCTCAGGAACACAGAGTTCTCAAGGTTGCTAATGCCAGCTTGGCAGGTAATGTAGTGGCTGTTATTAGGCGATATGTTTTCTGTGTTGGTCTGATCAAAAAGCTGTGATGCCAGAAGGTATGGGAGGGCACTATGTGATGGAGAGGTGCCAAGAGGAATACTTCCATTGAGACCCGACTGATGAGAGCTTCCATTGACTCTGGGGGTAGCAGGAAGGCTATAGGAATGCTGCTGGGGTTTCTTGTAGTGTTTTCCATGATGAGGGCCATTACTGAGGCGGGACGAACTCCTGCGGTGCGAAGGCGGACTGTCGTCTTCTGTTTCACTGCAAACCAGAGAGATATTGTTTATCATTTATTGCACTGTATTTTGTGAAATGATATGGACAAAAATATAACTAAAATATTTTAAAATAAAAATAAGTATTAATTTTTAAAGTTAATGGACAATTGGCAGACTCAGAGCTAGAAAGATGAAAAACAAATCATACATCTTAAATCTTACATAGAACAGCACTTTAAAACCCCCCTCATTGTCTCACACAGTCCTATCATAAATGGCTAGAACAAACGTGAAGGGTTTAGGGACTCCTGGTTTTTTTTATATATATGAGTATGGCAACTCATTTATGCTAATGATACACTATATTAAATTTCTAGGAATACAACACCTAAGTGTTTAATTGATCTTGACTCACCTGTCACTGTGTGTATTTCGTAATCGAGTTATGGGTGAGAGCGGAATATCCCGGTGGGTTGCCGAGTCCAGCGACGGAGCACGCTGCATGCCATGATGACCACGACTGCTCTTGCTAAAATTTCAAGGGGAGAATAGCAATTACAGCAATAACTTAAAACAATGCACCATGATTATGAATTATGCATTAAAGCAAATGAGCTCATTAGATTTGTTTGTTCTTGCATTGTTCAGAACACCTATACCACCTTACTGAGACTGGGAGGAACTCAATGGCAGAGAGATATCCACACCATAACCTGTGGTGTGGGGGGGGGGGGGCAGGTCACAAAGAGCTAACTCTCACTTCCCTGTAGTTACTGATAGATAAGCACTGTTCAATAAGTAGACCAGGCTGCCACTAACACTCAACATCTTCCATCTCCATAATGTAGGCAGTGCTAGTTAATAATTAGATTACAGAATACGACCGTTTCTTTAATTGCTCGTTAAAAAATATAAAAATTTAGCTGAATTTTTGCAAAGCAAAAATTCAAAAGAAATGTCAGAGGATCGGCACCTATGTACCCTACTACAGCAACCTCAAAGCCCAAAAACTTCTCTCTTCAACAGAGACAAAGGGACAAGGAAGGAAGCCCACATTCCCTTCACCTGGACTGTATGTCTCGAATCGCGGATCCCACATGTGTGAGGCCGTAGCACAATCAACTAGGCTATGAGCAGTCTTAAAAAGGAAAGTTTTCAGAAGCTGCATCCTGCTGCACTTCAGTATACAGCAGGATGCAGCTTCTGAAAACTTTCCTTTTTAAGACTGCTCACAGCCTAGTTGATTGTGCTACGGCATCACACGCGTCGGTTCGAGACCCATACAGTACAGGTGAATGGAATGTTTATTTCCATGGAAGTGTGGATGGCCATTTACAAGCCCACATTCCCATCAGACTTGTTAGGGTCTCAACAAAGAACAAAGACCTGGTGCCAACTAGCAAAGCAATCAAATCCCAAAAGTCAATACCAGAGGCCCAACCCAAAAACAGAAGGAAATAGAGGAGAAGAGGGGGTTTCCTAGTCTCTATTACAACTCAAGAGAGGCCAGCCTCTAAAGTGGTTTCCACCAGCCTGTTCCACCAGCCTATTTCCTAGCAGCTGGCTGCACTCTAGAGCCCAAAGTGTCCTGTGATAACAGGACATTTCGTAATGTAGCAATCAAGTGATTTAAGCCCTTAAGTTTAATTAGCTAAAAAACAAAGCTAATACTGCATATAAAATTCACAACTAAAAATGCTGTAAAATAAAGATAATATAAACATCAAGAGAAAATACCAACTCCAAAGTATCAGTAGAGACCACTGATGAGGACTATGACCTTCACCCTGTAGAAATACTGGTGAATACTGTATAATAATGTTTAAGTTTAGCCCCTATAATACATTAACAGTAATTCATTTGGTGCATCAAATTCTACTATGCCATAGCTTTACTGAAAATAATGTTTCAACACATTAAAAGTGGCTAAAAAAGTGAGCAGGCAAATAAACGGCAAACAAACCCTGTGCATCACTCGGTGCCCTGACATCACCTTCACCTCTGTCACCACAGTTGTAGTTCTCACAAGAAGGCTAGGCATTAACCCTCAAGGAAATAACAGAGAAACCTAGGGAAGTTAGGTATAATTATTTTCCATTAACTCTCTTTAAACCCCCAACATTCTCCACTACCTCTGGCTACTACTCCATCATCTGGCTCACAATAATGCATAAACGTTAACATAAATTCAACAAATGATGTTGAATTTAACAAAAATTCAATCAATTCAAATGCTCAATACGCCGCTTTTATTTAAAACTGAGGACAAAACAACAAGCTCTTAGCTAAACATCGGTGGCGGGATAAAACTTTGTGTGAAATTTGAGAGGCAGACCACCGGAGGTCGAGGAGGAAGGCTGGTGCCGCCACACGAGCTGCCTCACCACTAGCACTTGCTTGTTCTTCACCTGCCCTACACACACACATCAAGCCTACCATCACTGGTTACCTTGTGTATCTCACACCTACCGCTCAAAACTACCTCGTTCCCATACCTCCTCACACTTCATCATCATAATTATCATGATTTTAATGATATTGATGATAGAGGAAAATAATGATACTGATTATAATGGTAATGATTTTAGTGATGATAATGAAGATACTGATTATGATATTATGGCAATGATTATAATGATACTAATACTTACAAAGATAAAGATTATGATAATGATAATGATTTTTTGAGATATATACAAGAGTTGTTACATTCTTGTACAGCCACTAGTACGCGTAGCGTTTTGGGCAGGTCCCTGGAGGATATCGAGGATGATAATGATGATAATGATACTAATAATGATATTGATGATAATGATACTAATAATGATATTGATGATAATGATATTGATAATACTGAAAATGATAATGATATTGAAAATTATAATGATATTGATGATTATGATATTGATAATGATATTTGAGGATACTGTACTGATAATATTGAAAATGATAAAGATATTGAGGATGATATTGATATTGAAAATAATAATGATATTGAAAATGATAATAATATTGAGGATGATATTAGGAATAATATTGATGAGAAAATCAGTAGGAGTCATGAGGAGGATTCGAACCTGTGCCCGGTTACTCTCAGGCACACTCTAGACCACTACACCACGACACAGTCAAGTGTTGCAACCTAGGATTCAACTGAGATCTCAAGAGTTCCTGAGGCTTCCACTGAAGCCTAACCAGGGTATCACACACTTCCCCCAACCCCCATGCTCTCTGGCTTGTAGTCTAGGAATTCTTCCTCCTATGCTTTTCTTTAAATCTCTCTCAAACTCACAAAGAAATCCCATTAGCGTGATGTATCAGTGAGGAAAATCAACAGGCGCCATGAGGAGGATTTACCCATATTTCTTCCTCGTGGCTCCGACTGATTTTCTCATCGATACATTACGTTAATGTGATTTCTTTGTGCTTTGATGATAATGATATTTGGGGATGATGAAATTGATGAGGATGAATTAGGGCAGAGGCTAGAGTACTCACTTGTGGTGGTGTTCATGACCATTGGCGTGAGGCGTGGCAGGCAGGTGGCGGGCAGTGGGCGGGTGTTTGGGAGTGGAGCTGAGGGATAGTGACGAAGATTTACGAGGGCGTGGGACAGGGGGGGTAGACACTCTGGGTGCTAACAAGCCGTCCCTAGAATAAGCGAGCCATTTAGAACGTAACATAAATATTGTTGATTTTGAAAGTAAGAGCAACAAAGTTAGTGACCCCTTAACATTAAGCTGACAACTGCCACCAAGCAAACTTCACACAACATGCAGCTTCAATGTCGCATACTTGAGATAACCATATTGTCCCAGCATTTGTAAAATCATGCCTATGAGTTTATAACTACACTACACATAACAATGGCTAGCATGCATCATTATGACTTTGGGGAAGAAAATAGCATGCACAATGTATACACAACATGAAGATAACACAAACATGTTTACCAAATGCATTCGTTTCTGATTACAGCTCTTGCACATGACCAATTTCTGATGATTACAGGTAATAGATGTGACCAATACTGTGGCACTGGCCACCAAGAAACATTATAAATAAGGAATAAAACAAAATATTGGTAAATGCAGGAGAAGCACTAGTGTTGAGGAGTGCACGATGAACATGACAGCAGAGCTTCAACACCTGATACGGGCAGTTTTCAAAATGTGCATCAAGTGTGCCTATACATACCTTACTTTAATGTTTTGTTACAACCCTGGTTCACTAAAGTCAATCTTTAATGAGGTAATTGAGTTATAACTATTTACAGCATGCTACATGGACACATTTCTTGCAGAAGTTATAACAAACCTAAGTTTCTTTAATGGTTAAAATACAATAAGTGTTAAAAATTGGGGAAAAATACATGGTTGGTGCACAAGAACAAAATAAGGCAGAAAACATTAGGACTATAAACAAGATTATAAAAGAAGACAAGAACTATATTAAACATCGGTGCCTGTGATACTACAGCATCTATGAGATACCATCATCATCCTCAATACCATTTGCCTCCTAATTTAGTATTTTCTTAAAGGTCAGTACTGTATGTTTGTTTAACCTAATTATAAATAACAACAAAAAATTTGACAGGAAACCTATGAAACATTCACATAGAAACAGAAAACAACTCTGGCCATGATGACTAAAGATTAACTGATCAATTGATAATGATATTCATTTGGCATAGCTAATGTCATATGTACAGTGATGAGATAATGAAGTGTGTGAACATGATGGATGACATGCAGCAAGGAACACCTACAGGTGTAAAGTACAAGGGGGTAAGGATGGTGAGAAGGTAGTTAACACTTACTATAGCAGTTGATATGTAACCATTAAAAGGAAGCATCTATGAAATTTACCTGATCCATATACAATTACCTATTGAGGCGAAGGCAATAACAGATACATGGGCATTTACTAATACACTTCACAATATTTACACATCAACTATGTACTGTATTTGCAATGAGTGACTATAGAACAAAATCATTTATTTAAAAGCTAAAAATTGACACAATAAACCAATCTTATGAGCTTTAATAAATTTGTTATATGCTTTAGTGGTGTATCCACACCAGAAAGCGTTCACCACTACCACTTTCATCTTCTCCGACTGTTCTAGCATGCCTACAACGTGGATAAATTGCTCTCAATTAGCAAACAATAACCACATAACTGGCATGTTTGTCTCTGCAATATTTATGTAAAATGCATCTGTATATAGAATAAATATGTATAAATATCCCTTGTTGTTTCACTCTCTCTCCAACTGCTATACATTTAGGGATGTGATTTTCTCAACCAATCCTCCTGCCTGAGGCCTGACAGCTGAGTGGACAGCGCTTGGGATCCGTAGTCCTGAGGTTCCGGGTTCGATCCACGGTGATGGAAAAAAAGGGCAGTTTCTTTCACCTGATGGTCTGCTCACCAAGCAGTAAATAGGTGCTTGGGAGTTAGACAGCTGCTACAGGCTGCTTCCTGGGGGGTATGTAACAAAAAGTACCACCGTACCACCATGTGCTAGGTCGGTCATACGCATATGAACAAACTTCGTTTCCCGAGGCAAAGTTAGTAACCCGATTCGGATTTTACAAAGAAATTGGGCTCATAACCCAAAAGGTTCGTAAAGAGGGGCATTCGTAAGCCGAGGTGTCACTGTATATACTATGGTCCTCATTGTCACTACAAGTACTACCAAAACAGGAGGATGGGCTGAATTTTCTGTACAAGCTTCTCTACATATTAATACATGAAAGAAAACAACACTAATGGAATAACCTGCTTTTGCCATCACTAACAGCTGAAGACATGCTAAGACTTGAAGAATGAGGCAGGTTTACCTCTCAGCTTATAAACTCTACACTAAACTGTACTTTATTACTCACAAAACATTACATCTTTTCTCTTCTTTAATATTATATTGAGAAAAAAATTATTTGCAAAATACAATAGAACAGCTGCTGTTAATGTTCTAACCCCCACATCTCATCTTTGCCAAGCTAAAAGAACATAAAGTTTATGCCCACATACCATGTTTACCAAGTTAAAGAGCGCAAAGTTTAATACTTACAAATATTCAATCCACTTTTCCTCGTTACTATATGCACTAGTAAACATGCATCAGTAACTTAGTCACTGCAGGCTACACCTTACATTTAGATTAGCAAAGAACTGTACAATAAAACTTAAAATTATATTATATACCTTTATGAAATACTTGTGTGAATATGACTAATGAATTAGCTAGGGAAGCTGCATATATATTTTTTAGAACAGATTAATCTAACAGGCATAAACTGTATGTTCAAAATACATATGTACTGTACTTCTGTCAACAGTTTCAGTGTCATGTAACACATTATAGGGTAGATGGGACACCACAAGCATAGCTCTCATCCTTTAACTGCACTCAGGTGCAGTAAAACCGCACCCGATTTGAACACGGTTAAACACTGCTCCACAAAGTATCTTCTTTAAACCTCTTTACCACAAGTATTAAAATCCCGAAAAAGAAGATACTCACGAGAGGCTGGAGGGTGGGGAAGTGAGGTGAAGCTGAGAAAAGTCGTCCATGGTCTGCAGTATGGCGGCATCCACAACATGGGGAGCGGTTCTCTATGGCAGACCTGTTCACCCAACATCATCAATATACATCTCACAAGATAAACATGCACAAGCAATATAAATATGACGACTTATGAAAACATCTAGGTGATAAGTGATACAATATCATGTTACTGCATCAAGAGTAGCACTTTTATACAACATTGCCAATCTTACATTGTTCATGGGGGGGGGGGGGGGCAAAACTCTAGTGTTACATAATGTACAGTAATGCTGCTTATCATACTCAGAACGATGGTAATCACTGTCACACCCTTACACCCTGGACCCTGGTAATAAGTGTCACTGCCTGTCACACCCTGGACCATGGTAACCAGTGTCACTACCTGTCACACCCTGGACCATGGTAACCTATGTCACTGCCTGTGACATTGCTCTTTACTCACTCACTTTGCACTTACCACAAAATTACTTTTTCTAATTAACATTAAACACTGCATTTAGCAAATCTTTAATCACAACTAATTCTGAAAACTGAAAATGTGAAATATGCAAGGTAAGGCTACAGGGACTGCAATGATCAAATATCTACAAGTCACACCAGAGACACTATCAGGTTGCCAATATTGTAAGGATTTGTTTTCAGGCAGGTTACTGAAGAAGCACCACGCTCCACACTCCCCCCTACACCAGCTCTCACAAGTGGCACCACACTCCCCTCTACACCAGTTCTCACAAGTGGCATCACACTCCCCCCTACACCAGCGCTCACAAGTGGCACCACACTCCCCTCTACACCAGTTCTCACAAGTGGCACCACACTCCCCCCTACACCAGCGCTCACAAGTGGCACCACACTCCCCTCTACACCAGTTCTCACAAGTGGCACCACACTCCCCCCTACATCAGTTCTCACAAGTGGCACCACACTCCCCCCTACACCAGTTCTCACAAGTGGCACCACACTCCCCCCTACACCAGCTCTCACAAGTGGCACCACACTCCCCTCTACACCAGTTCTCACAAGTGGCACCACACTCCCCTCTACACCAGCTCTCACAAGCGGCACCACACTCCCCTCTACACCAGCTCTCACCAGCGGCACCACACCAACTCTCACAAGTGGCACCATACTCTCCCCTACACCAGTTCTCACAAGTGGCACCACACTCCCCCTTACACCAGTTCTCACAAGTGGCACCACACTCCCCCCTACACCAGTTCTCACAAGTGGCACCACACTCCCCCCTACACCAGCTCTCACAAGTGGCACCACACTCCAGCTCTCACAAGTGGCACCACACACCGCCAGCTCTCACAAGCGCCAATCATAATACAGTATACATATTCTGAATTATGGAATAAATTGCTAGTCAACAAAAAATATTTGAATATACAGTATATATTTCTTCACAGGTAATTATTTGCCAATTTTATTATGTTTATAATAACCATAAGAACAATGTTCTACCAATATCCATCAAAGGAATTCCTAAAATCTAATTTTAGATTTTATTCACATGTACAAAACCTTGTTCTTACAAACTAATCCTGATCTGAAACGCTTCCTTGATAATGTAATAGAACCCAAGAGCACCACACCAGACATAAATATCTCCTTTGATATCCCCAGAGTCGGAATAAATTTGTGCAAATGCTCCGTGCAAATAATAGGACCCAATCTATGGAACTCACTCCCTAAGCAATTAAAAAAATTGTGCAACCTATGCTTTATCTGCCCAAAATGCTATGTGTGTTAGTGGCTTTCCAAGAATGTGAGAACACCAATGTTATGTACTCTCACACCCCAACGTCACTTCTTGTATATAAATCAATAAAAATAAATCAATATGATGATAGTGAATAAAATAAAACCAGGTGGAAGCACACAGAACTAGCGTGGGGTGGGGGCACCAAGAGCCTCGGAAATACTGTGTTCTACTACATCCTCAAATATTAAAGTACATACACCCAGGTTCCCTAATGTTGAATGCTGCACTAAAAGGCAATTTTTGTGTACTACTAAAGATGAATATTACTGCTAAAGGGCCAGGCCTCTTGGCTGTACAGCGACATGCTCATAGTGTACAGCACTGTGCTGATAGACCTACAATGTCATGTTTACATACAGGTACAACCTACAGTGATGGCCAGACGGCCCTCAGCGATGGCCAGACGGCCCGCAGCGATGGCCTGACGGCCCGCAGCGATGGCCTGACGGCCCGCAGCGATGGCCTGACGGCCCGCAGCGATGGCCTGACGGACCGCAGCGATGGCCTGACGGACCGCAGCGATGGCCTGACGGACCGCAGCGATGGCCTGACGGACCGCAGCGATGGCCTGACGGACCGCAGCGATGGCCTGACGGACCGCAGCGATGGCCTGACGGACCGCAGCGATGGCCTGACGGACCGCAGCGATGGCCTGACGGACCGCAGCGATGGCCTGACAGACCGCAGCGATGGCCTGACGGACCGCAGCGATGGCCTGACGGACCGCAGCGATGGCCTGACAGCCTGCAGCGATGAGCTGATAGCCAGGTAAAATGACGTCCAGTGATGACAGTCATGTACAATGTACAGTAATAATAGGGTATACAACTCCCACTCCCCCCCCCCCTTCCCTGACTGCCACTCACCACCTGGTAGCCCCAACTCCCCCACCCCAAAACACACCCACCAAATTGCACCATTCCCCCTGTCCCCCCTGAATCGCTCTATTCCCTGCCTTCCCCTCCCCTTGGCAGAGCTGCTCCCTCTCCCCCTTCCCTGATAAACTTCATCTCCTGACACCTCTCATTCCCCCCACTCACAAGCACTTCCGGCACCCCCCCCCCCCACTGATCTGGAACCCCACCCCCGGGAACCCCCACCCCCGGGAACCCCCACCCCCTGGCACCCGACCCCATGGCACCCGACCTCATGGCACCCGACCCCTGTCACCCCCTACCACCAAAAACCCCTCACACCTATCTTTGCAATATGCGGCTCTTGCTATACCAGCTTCACCCCCCGACGACACACACGAGGCTGATGAGTCAAGAGAAAGATGCCTCTTGTGGGGAAGATGCCCCCCTTGTGGGACGATGCCCCTTGTGTGGTGGGTAATGGCGGTGATGGGCCTTACTTGTGTCTGCTGGGGTCATGGTGGGAGTATGGAGGCGCTGTAGGCCTAGCAAGGTAGCCATTGGGGCGCCACGGAGGCCAGAAAACCGTCAAATGGGTCAGCGGCGCCGCCTCTCCTGCCACTGTTTGTTGTGATTTGGCCAGACACTATTTTGTTGGCGGCGCCATCTATTAGCGCGCGGCGGAACTGTGGCGGCGCCCGACGGTGCCATCTGTTGGCGGCGCCCCTACCCATGCTGTGGGCGGTGGTGGCCACCTAGTACCCATGCTGTGGGCGGTGGTGGCCACCTAGTACCCATGCTGTGGGCGGTAGTGGCCACCTAGTACTCGTCCTGTGGGCGGTACTGGCCACCTAGTACCCATCCTGTGGGCGGTGGTGGCCACCTAGTACCCATGCTGTGGGCGGTGGTGGCCACCTAGTACTCATCCTGTGGGCGGTAGTGGCACCTAGTACCCATCTTGTGTGCGGTAGGGGCTCCCCTAATACCCATCTTGTGGGTGGTATTAGCTCTTATGCCCATCTTATGGGCGGTAGTGGCCCCTAATACCCATCTTATTTGTGGTCGGTAATGGCCCCCTAATACCCATCTTGTGGGTGGTATTGAACCTTATGCCCATCTTGTGGGCGGTAGTGGCCCCCTAATACCCATCGTGTAGGTGGTATTAGACCTTATGCCCATCTTGTGGGCGGTAGTGGTTCCTAATACCCATCTTATTTGTGGTCGGTAATGGCCCCCTAATACCCATTTGTGGGTGGTATTGGACCTTATGCCCATCTTGTGGATGGTAGTGGCCCCCCTGATATCCATCTTGTGGGTGGTAGTGGACCTTATACCCTTCTTGTGGGTGGTAGAGGACCTCATACGCATCTTGTGACGTGGATGGTATGAGGTCCACCACCATTACAATAATAATATTGTAGTTATTATGTTGAACTCAAATTTTGCTACTACGTATTCATCTAACCTTATTATTATTTTTTTTATTTTATTTATATATATATATTGTGACGGTAAAGCGTTGGTGTTCGGCTGTTTCAAAAGCTAGGGGCAGGGATTCGTCGCATTAGAGAAAAAAAAGAGAAAAAGCTGGAACTTTCGTCTGTGGTAAGGTAATGGGAAGACACACAAAACACAAGTAAATTTAACAATGAAATTTTAATTACGTTAGAAAAACAAGACATGAATAAAGTTAAGCATAAAATATAAAAGACAAGTCAACAAACAAAATAATATGAATAATCACTGGCAAATGAAAAGTTACGTTAAGACAAGAGAGTTACAGTGATAGCAAAATAAATATGAATGGAGCTGGAATATTGGCTTCGAGCTGCCACCTCCCTTAGTACACGAAAGCCAAGGCTTAGTCTACCAGCGAGAGATGTCAACTGCAAGGAGCACTGAGATATTCTGACAATACTGGGCCACTGCAGCCCAGACATCAACTTGTGGTGGAGGGCGGAGGGCAGGTGCGACGGGACACCAGCCAATCAGCGACAGGCAGGCAATGGACAAGTAGTTTGCTGGTTTACGGTGGCGGTAGCTAGCAGGTGTGCCGGTGTGCTGGATACGTTTTGCTCTCTGGGCAAAACGTTTTGGAGATACTTGCTGTACGTATCTTCTATATTATCTTTTGTTTTTACGTACTTTGTAGGGAAGAACAGGCTCAATCTCTCTTGAAAGAGATTATCGTCACAATATATACAAAAGTTCTTACATTCTTGTAAAACTGCTAGCACACATACCATTTCGGGCAGGCCCTTAATCTTAATTTTCCCTGGAATACGACCTGCCAAGTTGTTTATCAACCAGGCACCCATTCACTGCTGGGTGAACAGTCATACAGTTAAGGATTGGCGCCTAGTCAATCCTCCAACCCGTCCTCACACTAAGCTGTTTAAAGCAGCGACGGTCCCTTCCCCCCCTACCCCCCAGACACATTCATAAATTTTAACATACTGTGTATTAAACATTGGTTTGATCTCGAATATAAATTAATACTGTATTATTATACATAAAAATTTTATGTATAGTTAGGCGTAGATTAAGTTAGGTTAGGTGTTTAGGCTCTGTTGACGGTTATTTGTATTTGAAGTACGTGGGTGAACTGTGGTTCGAACATAGGACGCGAGCGAAGCACTTGTTCAGGAAGTGTTCGGGCGTCATCAGTTGCGAGTCGTGTGTAACAGCCCGTCCTCCCAATCCGTCCTCGACTCAAGTCCCAGCCCGTCCTCCAAACAAGGACCCAAAAGTGATACCATGCACCCGCCAAACCCGCGGTTTATGAATGAAAAGCGGTTTACACACGACTCACAACTGCTGACGTTCGAACATTTCCGGAACAAGTGCTTCACTGACGAATTTTGCTCGAACCACAACGCCATAAATCAGCCCGTCCTCCAAACAAAGATCCAAAAGTGATTCCATCCACCCGCCAAACCCCCTGTTTATGAATGAAAAGCGGTCTACACACGACTCACAACTGCTGACATTCGAACATATCCAGAACAAGTGCTTCACTGACGAATTTTGTTCGAATCACAACGCTATAAATGCTTCACCCACGTACTACAAATACAAATAATCGCCAACAGAACCTAAACACCTAACCTAACCTATCCTATGCCTATATATACACAATATGCCAATATATTATATTTATTTATACTTGAGAAAATTCACGTTTTGAATAAACAGCATGTAATTTGCTGTTTATTAAAATTTAATCATTAAAGGGACCCAACCACTTGGGCAGGACGGTAGAGCAACGGTCTCGGTTCATGCTGGTCAGCGTTCAATCCCCGACTGTCCAAGTGGTTGGGCACTATTCCTTCTCCCCGTCCAATCCCAAATCATTATCCTGATCCTTTTCATGTGTTATATAGTCGTAATGACTTGGCGCTTTCTCCTGATGGTTCCCGTTCCTTAATCATTAGAAGTCGAGTATCAAGATACCAGAAAAAAACAATACGCTTCTGTCAGACGCACGATCAACTGAAATTTAAATACCTTTCATTCTTTTGAATAACTAATTTGACCCTTTTCTAGATGTATATCAATAAACCCATTTTACGAATAAATAAAGCGAAAGTACTGAACAATTTTTAAATCTAGACAATGGAGAAGAAAAAAGTGCTTAGGCGAGAGTGCCGTAGGAGACTTTGAGGGCGAACGTGCAGGCGTCGACGCCAGCCCTTGTGAGTGGGTCTTATATAACATAACAAGTCTATTATTCAACGTATATAAGCTCCATATACCTCTATGGTGTCTAGACAACTAGCAACAAATACTGTATTATCAATTTAGCTCGTCTCTTTTTTTTTTTTTTTTAGCCAACAATGGCGTTTATAGCAAATTATTGGTGTGGTTTGAACTGGCAATCTCTGTGGAGATATCACCTGGGGCTGAGTATAGTGTGCGGGTGGGTGCAGTGTGCCGGTGGGTATAGTGCAGGTGGGTACAGTGTGCGGGTGGGTGCAGTGTGCCGGTGGGTATAGTGCAGGTGGGTACAGTGTGCGGGTGGGTACAGTGTACTCACGTATTTGTGCTTACGGGGGTTGAGCTTTGTCTCTTTGGTCCCGCCTCTCAATTGTCAATCAACTGGTGTACAGGTTCCTGAGCCTACTGGGCTCTATCATATCTACATTTGAAACTGTGTATGGAGTCAGCCTCCACCACATCACTGCCTAATGCATTCCATTTACTAACTACTCTGACACTGAAAAAATTCTTTCAAATTTCTCTGTGGCTCATTTGAGTACTAAGTTTCCACCTGTGTCCCCTTGTTCATGTCCCACCCGTGCTAAAGAGTTTGTCTTTGTCAACCCTGTCAATTCCCCTGAGAATTTTGTAGGTGGTTATCATGTCTCCCCTTACTCTTCTGTTTTCCAGGGACGTGAGGTTCAGCTCCTTCAGCCTTTCCTCGTAGCTCATGCCTCTCAGTTCCGGGACAAGTCTGATGGCATACCGCTGAATCTTCTCTAAATTTGTCTTGTGTTTAACTAGGTATGGACTCCGGGTAGGAGCTGCTTGGCAGGAACTGCCAATTCCAGGATTGGTCTGACATAAGTGGTATACAGGGCCCCTGAACGATTCCTTACACAAGTTTCTAAAGGCAGTTCTTATGTTGGCCAACCTTGCATATGCCGCTGATGATATCCTTTTGATGTGGGCCTCTGGGGACAGGTTCGGTGTGATATCGACCCCCAGATCTTTCTCTCTATTTGACTCTTGCAGGATTTCACCTCCCAGATGGTACCTTGTGTTCAGCCTCCTGCTCCCTTCGCCTAATTTCATTACTTTACACTTTCCTGAGTTGAACTTTAGCAACCATTTTCTAGACCATTCCTCCAGTTTGTCCAGGTCATCCTGTAGTCTCTGTCTATCTTCATCTGTCTTGATTCTTCTCATAATTTTTGCATCATCAGCAAACATTGAGAGGAATGAGTCTATACCCACTGGAAGATCATTTACACATACTGTATTAGAAACAGAATGGGTCCAAGTACAGAGCCCTGTGGGACTCCACTGGTGACATCTCACCATTCTGATGTGTCTCCCCTCACAGTTACTCGCTGTTTCCTTTGCTTAGATACTCCCTTATCCACTGGAGCACCTTACCTTTTACTCCTGCCTGTTGCTCCAACTTTTGTAACAGCCTTTTATGGGTACTTTGTCAAAGGCTTTCTGACAGTCCAAGAAAATGCAGTCTGCCCACCCTTCTCTTTCTTGTCTAATTTTTATTGCTTGGTCATAGAATTCTATTAAACCTGTGAGGCACGATTTACCATCTCTGAACCCATGTTGGTGGTGTGTCACAAAACTACTGTTGTGATAGTGATACATATTGTGGGTACAGTGGGCTGGTGGGTAGTGTACTGGTCAGTATAGTGTAATCTAATTATAACTATCAGATAACACACAACCCCTCTGTTTAAATCACTAAACATGCTAAACATACTCACTCCACACATTCTCTTGTCCTATTTACATGTACAAACCTCGTTCCTAAATGCTAATCCTGACCTAAAACTTTTCCTTGATAGAGGCAATAGAACCCATGAGCACCACATCAGAAATAATTATCTTTGATATCCTCCACAATCAAACTAAATTTGTGCAAACACTCCATGCAAATAAAAGGGCCCAGGCTATGGAACTCATTCCCCAATGAAGTAAAAAGTTGTCTAACTTATGCTTTATTCAAAAGGAAAACCATAAAGTACCCAATTTCATCTTCATAGTTTCCTACCTTGTGCTACCCACTATCCCAATATTGGTACATAAGACATGGAACTTCTCAAGTGTAATTATTTCCATCAGTTTATATTGTAGAAGTAAATAAATACAGCCTGTAAGGAAATAGTCATGATGTATAGTGTGTGACAACTGGTAGTGTGATGGTGTGTAGTGTGTTGTGGTTTCAGGCATCATTGCTGCTCCTCATGCCTGCTAGTTTGCCATTTTGATCTCTCTCTGAGAGTCCATTGGGTCACTCTCACTTGTTTACTGCCCCATTCTCTGTTCTTGGGTGTTGAGGTTTTCGCAATGTTTCAGCAACAGCTAGTGTCTCCTCAGCCGATTCACATGTTTCGGTTATGATCAATGGCTCCAGGCAAGTGCCCATGTTTCTCCAACTTGTGGATAGGTGCTCGGAAGTGTAATTTGTGTGTAAATTATTGTTTTTTATGATCATGACTAATGTTTTGGACATGAAATTTGATGTATGGCAACTTTCCCTCTTAAATTTATTAATACTGTACTGTACTGTATCTTTGTCAACATGATGCATACAGCTGTTTTGCATATTATTTCATGTGTCCAGGTTGAGTGAAACCTCAGCTGCTGTGGGCTGCCAGAGTACCAAGCAAGTGTCATGTTCAGCCTATTCATTTGCTGTTATTAATTTGTTTAACTTTGTTTCTGGCTTTTATTAATCCTTTGGTATGATTTTAGATAGAGAAAAGGCTGTGGAACACCAGCACCATCATTACACTACTAAATTTCCAACAGACAGAAAAGGTGCAACATGTCTGGGTGGAACCTAGAGAATCCAGTGTTCAGCAGCTATGTCTTCTGGTCTGGTGTACTGGCTGCCAAGATGCTCCTTATGGGACCAATCACTGGCTACTTCCGTATTACCCGCAAGGTAATACACGTTAACAAAAGGCTACAACTCCCTCCTGCAAGGTCTCTATCCCCATTCTCCCACAAAGCCATAGCTCTACAGGGAGAGAGCTATGGCCAGAGAGGCAAGGTCTCTCTTTCCCATCAACCTACAAGGTTTTCATCCATTCTGTCTCATGCACTCAGCACAAATACCGTACAAAGAATTACTTTGTTACATGAACCTTGCTTGACATGAACAACGATATAGTGAGTTAAATTGATTGTATTAATTTGCCACACTAACCATATACTGTACAATCATTTAGCGAATACATTAACTTATTTATTATGCAATTTTATCCCACTTTTTTTTTTTGTGTGTGTGTGTGCACACAAAGGATTATGGTAAAGTGGGGCATAATAACAAAAATAATAACAATATAGTAAGTATTGAAATAATAACAATGCTTACAAAAGCATTGGTGGTTGTTGTTTGAGAATTACCAGTAACAAATGCCACACTTCCACAGGCTTTTGCCAACCCAGAGGATGTAGCTGCCATGGGTGGCAAGGATGTCAAAACCAACAGTGATGTAGAACGGGTTAGGAGGTGAGTACTGAACTTTGAACAAAAAGTGGCTTGCAAGAACTGGGCAAGTAGATGAGCATTGTTAAATACAGGCTACTGATGTTATATGAGCATTGGATCAGATGAATACTGTTCTCATGTTAAAAAGTATTTGCTCTTTTTAGATAGAAAATTTGTATGCCTTCATTTTGTCCAGTCCCCCACTATCGCCACTTCTCTTTTGTTCCAACACACACCAACACTTCTTCCTTGTGCAGACGAGGAGTCACAATAGTGTGGCTGAAATATGTTGACCAAACCACACACTAGAAAGTGAAGACGACGCCGTTTCGATCTGTCCTGGACAAGTCTCGCAATCGACTTGAGAATGGTCCAGGACGGACCGAAACGTTGTCGTCTCTTCACTTTCTAGTGTGTGGTTTAGTCAACACTTCTTCCTTGTTCCAACACCACTTCTCCCTCAGTTTCACTAACATCTTTTTTCTCGTCAGAGCTCACCAGAACGACTTAGAGAACATCCCTGTGTTCTGGGTATGTGGCCTTCTCTACGTGCTCACCAACCCATCCCTGTTGACTGCCAGCATCCTCTTCCGAATCTATGCCTCCGCCAGGATCCTACACACTGTCTTTTATCTGCGAGGCAGTTTCCTGAGGGGCTTCTCTTACTTTGCAGGCATGGTAGTCAAGTTTTTCATGGTTGGCACTGTGCTCTACACTTTCTGGTAGAGCTTGCAGACGGGTTGTTAGTGGCTCGCTCTACATCACCTTTGCCACTTGAGGATCAACATAAAAAAAATAATAGTTCTTGGTTTCTAATGATGGCTACGTTGTTTTTCTAATAGTTACACATAATTTTTCAGAGTATTTTTGTTGTAATATTGTTGTGCTGCATATTTTATGTTCATTTAATAAAATATTTTACTCTGTATGCCTTTGTTTCTATTATTTCTGATTTGATTACTAAATGATCACTAAGGATGGTCATATTTGTTTTAATCTGCATATTTTCCCCTTTGTAAATGTAATAAAAAAATTAACAATTTTATGCCTTTTGTTTTCAGAATTGACTCCTAATTGTAGACTATGAAGGATTTTACTTTTCACTTGAGCAAGGTAAAATAGACCAAGATGTTAAGCATGATACAGTACTGTATCTCCACTTTTGAATTTAAACTATTTTTCTTAGCAACTGTGCCATTCAAAAGAAAATTAATGCTAAAAAAAAAAAAAAATCAAAATATACCCCAAGTAACATAATATTTGCCTATACTGTACTTTGTTCCCCAAACAACCTACATAATGTCACTAAATTAGGTATGAAGTGCCCTGGTTGCCCCCAAAAGGTTGCATCATTAGGGTCAACCCCTCCTCCATCCCACCTATGACAGTCCATGGCTTAAAATGATGAAATACAGTACTGTACTAAGGACTTGTCTTGCTGCCTTTTATCACTTCACATTTTATTGGAGGGTAATGATAGATGCAGACCCCCAACCCAGCCATGGTCAACAACCCCTCACCAGTCACTGAAAAGTTGTGTACAGCTAGCCCCAAGCAACTGTCCTCCATCCTTGGACCGAGAGATATTCTTTCTTAAATACTGTATTGATAGATAAATACGTACACCCAATAATCATGATATTTTTTTATTACATTTCTAATAAGGAAGAAAAATTGCTTTTTCCATAAACCATATCACAAAAGATTACAATACTGTACATTTTTAAAAAATTAGAAAAGCGGTAAAAAAAAATGCAGGATACATTTTTGGGTGACATTTGATTCTGTGACCAATACATGGTAGCATTTACCGGGTGCTGGTGTCTGTTCTGAAGTTCAGAGACTAAGCAAATATTACATGATTTGGAAGTGTTTTTCTAGGGTTATGAATGTAGGTCACATGTTGCAGCAAGTGCAATATACCTTGATTAAACTGTTATTGTATTTTCCAGCCAAAGGGTTAAAATCACTAGAAAAACCAGTGTTGAATGTATTGTTTATACTAATTTTTTTCTTTTCTGTTTTTTGGGTGTAAAGAATATAACTATTTGGGCTATAAATTTGGTGTAAAGATGTTTGCAAATAAATTTGCCAGAGTATAGATGTAAAACAAAATGTATTATGATAATAGATTGTGTGACGTGCTAAATACATGAATATTTCATTTATTTTCAGCATAAATATAAGTAAAAAATATTGAAATGTTTGAACATATTTAATTTATATCACCATAAGAAAACAAGCACAAGCCTATTACTTTCCAGTAATTAATGTGTGAAAATTAATCACTAGCAGAGATATTATTGTCTCGAGTGATAGGTAATTAGCGGAGGTGACCTCTGGATGGTCCCCTGATAAGCTATTGTGCTAACAATATTTTAGCACAATATTGGGCTAAACAAAACCCAGAATTGAAAGATGATGCATTTTAGTCTCATTAGAAAGTTTACTGTTAAAGTATAAGTGATGTGTTTTAGCATCATTGGAATGCTAATGTTCTATTATTTAATCTTATTTTTCCTTTATATTATTCTACTTTTTCTCTCCAACCCAACAAAAATGGAAACTGGGTACAGTAATGATAATATATCTAATATACATATACTGTATATATTAACTATAGAAGATATATGGTCAAATATTTGTTGGAGTGAAGTATCAAAGTGCCTTAATTCTTATTCCAGTTCCAAGACTGACTTCTTAGGGACCCCTATTAGTTTGTACACCCATATTGAGTCTGCCCAATTTTCCTCAGCAGTATAACAAGTTAACCATCTTCTTTACTATAATGAATTTGTAACAAATCTTGACACAGGAAGTTGTTCTAAAATATTCATTACGTTGTATTAAAAGTTGCCACAAGTACCACTATTTAGATATTAAAATCACATTAATGATGTAAGAGCATTACCTTTCCTTGCCATCACGTGTAGATTTTTTTATTTATCCATTATTTTCTTTAAATCCTACCTTGGAGAATGAAGTTCATGGAGGGAACTATCTTATAGTGTTGGATTACCTTTTCTGCCAGCGATCATCAATCCTGTAATCTGTAGTCACACTGGCAGTGATTTCTGGCTTCAGATTATATATTACAATTTCGTTCACTTAAGATTTGGCCTGTGATACGCCAATATACAGTGAGCCTATAGTTATAAAAAGTAACGAATATGTACAAATTTCACATTACTGTAAAGTATTTGCATTCTCAAATCACTTTTAGTGTTTTGAAGCTTTCATATACGGTATAGTTGATCTGGTCTTTTAAATACTCATTGCAGTGCCATTCTGCAAGTTTGAAAGGGATAGAGTTATGTAACATTGTCAAATCTTGTTCTTAAATTACAACTCTGAATATTTAACCAAACAGGTACTTGTATTCTTTACTTTTATTAAAAGGTGAGCATGAGAAAGGTATAATTCAGAAATATGTTCAGTCTGATCTCATCTGCCACACAAGTAGGTGTAAACTATTGTAATATTTACTAAACATTCCTCAATTAGACTCCAGCATCAAAACATTTTATACACAGTTATTTTACTTTTACTTAAATTAAAAAAAAAAACTATGCAAATTTGTTATTTACTTGTACATATGTTAACTGTTAAACATTCTTTTAACAAACTAAATTAAAATTTGGAGCATTTAACAAAAACAGTGGTCTATAACATTTATTTTTGTCAAATGCTATGTAAAAGAAACCACAAATATTTAATTTTAAATTACAAGTGTTATGGGTAGTGAATTCATCCAAACATACAAGTTGTTATACAAAAATGTTACATTTTACTAAACATTCCATATCCAACTGCAGCTGAGAGCAATTAACAAAAATATTATTTATATTGTTTATCTTTTACAAATGCTAAGTCAAAAATAAAGATTTAAAGTCTACTTTCAGTCAGATTTAGTCTTTAACCCAAATGCCACTTTCAGAAATGGCCAAAAATGTGTTTACATTATTCATTCCTCGGCTTGCCACCACTAACGTATCTTACAAAATGCTGTAAATTCCTATTTTCATCAAATGCTAAGTGAAATAGGCTCAATTTTTTTGTGGTCTTATTTTCACTCTTGGATCCCATTCCAGACATTCACATACAGTCACTAAAAATTTTACTGCTTTCTGAAACACTCCTTGCAATACTGTAATTTGAGTGGAATATTTTAGAGAGCAATTGCTTATTTTCATTAAATACCATGTTAAAAAATAATAATTTTAACAGATTTTCAGAAATAGGTTTGAAGGAAGCATAAACCAAATTTTGTTCCACTCAGCAATAAATGTTGACAATAACCATGAAGTCAATCATTTGGTGCAGTTCGGAAAATAGTTGTTGGTGTGCACTCTATTTGCTCCGAGTTTGCTAAAGAAGTTTGAATGTGCATGTATATCTTCAGTGTATTATTCCATTCCTATTTACACATGCTGTAATGTATTCCCCACAAATAATTTTATAAGGAAATACTTAATTTCCTTTACAGCTCTATACTCCTAAAGCACTTTCTTTCATGATCAATTAAAATTTACATGTATGCTAGCTCGACCCTACCTATACTGAATTTATACAGGGAAATTTCCTTATGAATAATAGAAATCTGTAGCCAATTAAAAAGTTCCATGGTCCATTGGATAATCGATACAAAAACCTTTTAAACTACCACCCACAATTTTGCTCACACACACAAACTAAACAGCATACAGAAGTTGTATGTCACTAATATCCATCATATATCAGGCTCCATTCATCTGGAACCTTTATCCCAATCCCTTAAATGATCCCTATCAATACCAGCAGTCAAATCTGCTTTTAAGAAACATGCCTGAAACAATTCATCCAAGAACAACCATTACACATCACATGTACAATATTATAAGACTTCCCTTTATTTGTAAAAAAAAAATACTTCAATAGAACAAATTAATTGTTCTCAACTGTCCTCTCATTTTCCTTCACTACTCTCCTATACCTCCATCCTCTCCCCCTCACACATGACAGGGTTACAAAATAAGGCAAGAGAACAAAAGATAGGTAAACTATTTTCTTAGACTGCCAGATAGCTTTTGATTTAAACACACACACACACACACATGAAGATAAATGGAGATAACGGACTTGAGATTACCCGATAGATAAGAAACAAAAAGAGTCATAGAGAGGATGTATCAGAATGTAGAGGAGTGGAAAGTAGGATGTACCAGGGCTTTGTCCAAGAGCCATTGCTCTTTCTACGTAAATGACCTACCAGGAGTGAGCTTTTACACGTCGGTGAAGAAATGGGTTTTGGGAACTGAGTATCTAAGGCGCTCCAGAAATCACAAGCCCATCCACAATTATTACAAATAAACAAGAAACTTTAATTGGTAGAAACTTGACTAAGGGTACCAATTAAATGTAACCATTTATAAAAAATTAAATGCAATAACCATACACCCGAGTACCCCCATTTCCATTACTCGAGTTATTGTTTGCAAAAGTTAATGACAGTAAGGACTGGGGACTGTCAAGTGCTGCAAAAATGACATTTTAACAAACCTCAGGGGGTGGGCTAATATCAGCAACTAGAATTCAATCCAAATAAGTAAGATAATAAAGGGAGACGAGTGACCTGTAGGTAACCACACCCTAAGGAAAAGGCAACTAGATGAAACAATAAGAGAAAAAATACCTGGATGGGAATATAATTCCAACACTATTAGCAGAAGCTCATGTGAACATGTTGATGTCAATGGCATTCACGAAGTTGGCAACTATATGAATGTAATTTATGCATCTAAATAAGGAGGCTTTCAAATTTGATATGCTACCCATGTGGAACCCACAGTTTGTGACACACAAACAAAAACTTGAGAAAGTACAGAAGTTTAGTATCAGAAGAATATTAGCAGAACTGAGAGAGGTTCAGGTATGAGCTCAGGATAAGTGAACTCGCTTTCAGAACCTTCGAGGACAGAAGAAACAAGGTACAGTACTGAAAGGAATAGACAACACAGACAACGACAGCCTATTTTAATTGAAAGACGGTAGGACAAGGAAACATCAATGGAAATAGGATACATAACCAAGTCAGAGAAATGGAAGAAAATTCTCATACCCTTTATAGATCGTCAGCAAGTGTAGTGCATTAAAGGAAGTTGTCAAAGCTCCTTCCATCCACAAATTTTAAGAAAAATTATGAAGGGAACTTGAATGTTGAGAGCTGCAAATAGCGATCCAAGCCTAAATTTCTAGGAGGCAGAGCACAGAGATATTTTACAACCCCATAGTCACTAATAGGTAAGCACACTCCTACACCAGCATTATCTCCCCCTCACACCCCTAAACCATCACACACTCCCCCTCACAAACTTCTGGAGTAGGCAGGTAAATGGCTCCTGGAATTCAATCCAAATAAATGTAAAGTAATGAAAACAGGTAAGGTAGACAGATCTGTATTTAACCATAAGGGGTTAAATGAAAGGGGAGACCTGTATGTATATCATAAGGGGAAGGTATACTCTCCCCCTCACACCCTTCCTACAATAGCATACTCTTCCCTCACACCCCCTCCTACAGCAGTACAATTTGCCTCACTCCCCTCCTGTTTCAGCATACTCCCCCCTCCTACATAAGCATAATCTCCCTTCCCACAACAGTATACTCTGTCCTCACAATTCTCCATCAGCACTCACACACACAACTTAACCAGCCACTTAATCTGATGAGTCTTAATATAACTAGCCAGTAACTATAATAAATACCTTATATACAGTGAAGTACCAGCATTATGAAGATTAAATTATTATTGCACAAGTGCAATCTATATTTAAACTATTTTAATTTAAACATTTGGTGTACAAATCTTATAAAACTATTAGTTATGTGATACATAGTGTTTACTACCCAACAAATATTATAGTGCTTACTATCCAATAAATATTTTATCACATTTACTAATAACAAATGCAATTACCCACATCTGTATGTTGCTAGGCTCTTGGTCTTCTCCCATGCAAAGACCTGTGTTGGAATCCTTAAAATATTTCCATTCATCTATATACACTGTTATCCCAGTAGGATTTCCAGAGCTTTTATAGCTGCAAGTTTTGCAATCCCAAAGGATTCACATGATTTACAGGTCTGCAATTCCTATAGTATTCTGACAAACTGTGATTATTGTAAGACTGATGACTTACAGATCTCATACTGAACTATATACTGACTGTACAGTACTTTGTATGGGTATTGCATTCACACTAAGATCTAAAATTATTTGTCTGTTGACCAATAAATATTATTTATGATTTACTATTATGCTTTGTCCTTCATCACTACAGCACTACTAAAAACCTTTGTACTTTGAAAATTCAGAACAGGCTAATTCATCAATTTGACTATTGTGAACCCTTTCTTCCTTAAGAAAAAGCCCCATGTAGGCACAGATCACATTTAAGGATAAGGAAATCATATGCAAGCACCAGCCCTGTGTAGAGAGCAGCCACATGAAGAATCTTTCCCAGATATATCAAATACTTTCAAGTTGAAGGATCCACTGACACATCTGCCAAATAATTTGACATTCCAGCTACTATATTGTAGCTGTGATTTTCTTGGACTATGTAAGCAGTGTGGGGAGAAAGGTTGAGGAGTGTCTGAAGCAAACGTATGCCTGTGCAGGTTAAGTGGAACTAACAGAAAAAGAATCTAGACAAAAAAATTAACACTTATAAAATGTGGCAAAAGGCCCCAAATGTTAGTAGTGGTGCAGTTCTCTTATGGAAAAGGGAAACCATCAAAGTCAGAAAGGGTATTTCTTGTTTTGTGTACCTATCTCAAATTAATTTTTTACTTGCATTTGTGAACAAAATCAATTTTAGCTGTATATATCAGATAGGCCATACACTATTAATATTTAGGAAGAAATTCCAAGTTTATGCATAAATACAACTTAAAAGCAGCATTACAACATTAATAATTGGAACATATTTACCAAATCTTCATGTTTTGGATTGCCATTCAAGATTAGTGTTAAAGCAGCTTACAAACTCTTCAGTGTTATGCAGCCCCAGGTCAACTTTACTCTAGAATGACATTCTCAGATTACTATTTCTTTGAAATTTAGCATTAAATCATAATCACTTATGACAAACTGAGTTAACAAAAATTAATAAAAAAAAAAATAATAATAATTAATGATTTATAAACAACTATCCCAGATTGCAAATATAACTGCATTAATTTTTTTAACACTGAAAAAGACCTGGAAAAATATAAATATAAATATATATATATATATATATATATATATATATATGTCGTACCTAATAGCCAGAACGCACTTATCAGCCTACTATTCAAGGCCCGATTTGCCTAATAAGCCAAGTTTTCATGAATTAATGTTTTTTCGACTACCTAACCTAACCTAACCTAACTTTTTCTGCTACCTAACCGAACCTAACCTATGAAGATAGGTTAGGTAAGGTTAGGTAGGGTTGGTTAGGTTCGGTCATATATCTACGTTAATTTTAACTCCATTAAAAAAAAATTGACCTCATACATAATGAAATGGGAAGCTTTATCATTTCATAAGAAAAAAATTAGAGAAAATATATTAATTCATGAAAACTTGGCTTATTAGGCAAATTGGGCCTTGCATAGTAGGCTGATAAGTGCGTTCTGGCTACTAGGTACGACATATATATATATATATATACATATATATATATATATATGTCGTACCTAGTAGCCAGAACGCACTTCTCAGCCTACTATGCAAGGCCCGATTTGCCTAATAAGCCAAGTTTTCCTGAATTTATTTACTTTTCTAATTTTTTTCTTATGAAATGATAAAGCTATCCATTTCATTATGTTTGTGTTAATCTTTTAAAATTTAAGTTAAAACTAACGTAGATATATGACAACCTAACCAACCCTACCTAACCTAACCTATCTTAACCTAGCCTAAACTAAGTAAATAATATATGTTCTTAATATAATATAATATAATATAATATAATAATAATAATTCAAATATACTAATTGGAAACAATTTATTGAAAATAAAGAATATCACTCTGCCTATTAGGCAAATTGGGCCTTGCATAGTAGGCCGAGAAGTGCGTTCTGACTACTAGGTACGACATTTTATATATATATTATATATATATATATATACAGTATATGCAGAAAAATAGAGAATGCTAAACGCATTTTCGGCTTAAATTGCCTTCATCAGAGCAAAGTAGAATGAAGTAGAATGATATAGTATATATATGTATATATATATATATATGTATATATGTATATATATATATACATATGTATATATGTATATATATATGTATATATATATATGTATATATGTATATATATATATATATATATATATATGTATATATATATGTATGTATGGTAATGGAGTTTTGAGATTTTAATTTTCCTGCCAGAAATGCCAGATCACAAATCCTCAGAAATAGCAATTTATTTTATATAACTTACATTGTAAGTACTCTCCAATAGCTTGTAATTAATCTGATTATTTTTTTGCTTTCATCATAACAAAAAATATAATGTATTTTATCATCATAAACTCTATGATCCCACCAAGGTTGGAACCTGTGAGGCCAGGGACCACCCCGCTGGCTACCACTGTACCAGTACTACTGGTGGAGTGGTATTAGTACTGTGGTAGCCAGTGGGAAGATCTACGACCTTGCTGATTCAAATTGTGGTGGGATCATACCTTATATAATTATTTTGCAAGATTTTCTTGCAACTCAAAATAAAATACTTAGGAGTTGAATGATTTCTTTCAAATAAAGCCCCATATGAGCTACTAATCTAGGCATTAATATAGCAATATAAAAAGTGGCAAAATATTGGAAATAATAAAAAAATGAATAGGGTCCCTTCAATAATGACTTGGAAAATATTGACTAAATCTTAAGTTAATGTAATAATATCCTAGATTGTAATTTTGTTTGTGGCAATATAAGGTATATGGTGCAATGATAGCCTAGCTTGTACAGAATGTAGGCAGCAACACAGCTAGAAAACTGCACAAGTGAGTTATTATTCAAACCTGCTGCAGCTTTATTGATGGGAGGATGGTGGTGGTAGTGTTAATGACAGGGGTGGAATTAGGTTGCAACCAGGAGTGCTACTGCCCTCACATGGATCCCGCAGCCTCTCCGAGACACAAACTGGGGTTTTACACAATTCCCCCATGCACCCGGGGTCTGTCAACAATGCGTTGACAGAGCCCGGGTGCACAGGGAAATTGGGAATTAGGTTGTTAATGAGAAGGTGGTGGTGTGTTATTGTCAGGAGTGGTATTAGGCTGTTGATGGGAGGGTGGTGGTGTGTATTGTATGTTGCATATTCAATACATAAGAGTACAGTACCTTTACTAAGAAATGACAGTTTCTGCAATGATTAGTTTACTTGCTCTTCCAGGTTTTCAAAAGATGATGGGCTCTTCTTGTTGTTCTATCACTCATAGTTTCTACAAGCCTCTGTCAACATTTTTATAACAGCTGCTAGCAATCTAGGAATCCAAGAAGAAAAGGACCTTCACAACATTTGCTTTTTTTGCCTTAATTTTTAATAAGAAATTTTCCAAGGCAATATTCACACTGCAAATATTTGTACAAAAATCAGAAATCCTACCATTTTTGTTAATTTCTTGGAGAAACCTAATAATACATCCAAGCCTGTGTTATTACAGGTAGCTAAAATCTCACCACTTGTCCGACAGCTAGCCCAGTGTGTTTCTCATAATACTCTCCATCTACTCAAACACAATAATCATTTACTTATTTTGATGTGTAACTGATGAGTAAGCACTCTCATCTACCAGTTATCATTATGTAATGAAAGGTACACATAACATATGAAAATCTCATTAGCCTGTATACAATATTCTCACCAATAACTGACTTTATTGCAATGGATGGTATACTTTGTCATGATTTACTTAACTGAGCTGATAGGTAACTCATCAAAACATTTACCTCACTATACCACAAGATATACTTATTAATATGTTGTAAAGTTTGTAGTAGTATATCAAAATAAAAATTGTTTTCCAACCATTTGCTTAGTAGTGAGGTGGCAACTTCCCAGTCAAGGTTGAGTGGCTTAGCCCAGTAACTGGCTACAAGAGTGACTGCCCATCAAGAAAATTTCATGTGGCAAACAAAAATGGGACCACCTGGCCCAGGGGTTCTGGCTGACAGTGTCCAGCTATCACCTTTCCCAACATTCGTCACTGCTAACTCTACCCAACAATCAAGATTCACAACACATGTTTATAAGTTACTTTTCAATGCTGCTTCTGTGTATTGTTACCCATAATGATCACATTGTAATCATTATGATTACAATGATTACCTTACCAATCCTCACTACTCAGGCCTCTAAGATGGAACCCAAGTCATCACATCATTAAGTATTCACAATAGTTGTCCAAAATGCACTTTACACCATGATGACTTAAACCTGCCATTACAATGTATGATCAATCTTAGCACAATTGCACCTGCTGGAAACTGGGCTACACTGACACTGGTACAAGCATCAACACAAACAAATATCACACTAGGATTTCATCAAAATGTTCAAATCTTAGAAAAACATTGGAGAGGCTTAACTTTCAGTTGCATACAGCTGCTCCATGTTCAACTAAATATAGAAATAGCAATCAATTTATGCAAATACACAGTCATGTACAACCTATGTATTTTTCAAATGCATTGATAATTAATACAATAAATAACTATGGTACAACTACACTGTCATTCACATAGGAAAATATTCTATTACTGAATTAGAACATTAATTTATTTATTAGAACATAAATGATATGGACTTCTATTCATGACTTAGATGATTTTTGGATTAACTCCTCTGTACAGTACACCTTTCTTCGGCAAAAGTAGTTTCTTGGCACAGCAAATCACAATCTAGGAAAATATTTAGTCACAAACCAATCCCACTTGGCCGACGTGTAATTATGCCTCACAGTGGCACTGAACCAATGATCCACAACTGGTAGTTTTATTACAGCCATCGTGCAGGTTAACTTTGTGGGCAGTGAGTGGCCTCAGTCAATTGTCATGAGTTGGAAAACAACAAATTATCAAGATGCACAACAATATCCATTAATATAACTATTTTATTTCACTCAACAAGATTTTGGTCCAACAGGGATTCCCAAAAATAAGTCATAACCCCTCTCACCCTTAAACATTCAGTCTGCCTACCATCCCCACCATCACATGTATTTCAATTTGTATTTCATTTCATTTCAAAACATGTATTTCATCTGCATATATGCAGATATACATGCCCATACACACACACACACACACTAGGGCCCACACAGGGGCCAACATTCTCCTCTAATACATGAACCTTAAAACACATATTCGACATGCTTTTCACATACACAAAGTATGTATGCATGTAAACATATGCACTATTGCACATTCATGTATACACACTAGCACAAATACACTCACAAGCACATATGCACACACACTGGGAACCTTCCCTCCTTCACTACTAGTTTGGACTTTTTTCTTTTTTTTTTTCCTTTTTTTTTCTTTTTCCTTTTATATTTTTTTGCATAGGCCAGAGATATCATCCACCCAATAACACTCCCTTGGGGTGTCATGTGACTCCCAAGAGCTTAAAATGACTCACAGAGATTGAATTTACAATCTCAAAAGTTAAACTCATATAAAACATTTATTTGAAATGACTTGGATGACTTGAATCAGCCACCAAAACAGCCAAGTTGAGCTTAAAGAATATAAATAAAACTCTTAAAAATGAGCTCTAAGGATATTGGTCTACTAAAATCTTTATTGTTTGTGGAAGAAGACACCCAATTCACTCGAAGTCTGTCACTACGCAAGACACTGTTCGCACATAACATGCAGTTCTAATGCAATGATTTGGAGAATGAAGGGCTGCCTTAACACCATTGTCTGTACTGTATATTTTTTCCACTCCTTGGCAGAACAAGAGCTGCACAAAGATATTCACAGAAACACGGAAGAGGGTTTGACCTGCACCTCTCGGGGCACGGTCAACATCACAGTCACCTGACCGTCCACCATCAAAGGTGGGAATTATGCAACTCTGTCCGGTCATCAGAGCGCTTAGAAAACATATCACCACTTGCAGGAAGAATCTCGGTATCCTCCTTCAATCACCGGTGAGTGTCTCGTGTCTCGCTTCTGCCATCGGCATCTCGTCGCGCAGACTTCTTTCGCTTATTATAAGTAACACGGTGATATCTCATCTGATTACTGCCTCCACTAACAGGTCCAGTACTACTAATGTGAACACTATTACCATTTCCATTTGGGGCATTTTCTCCAATGTACTTGATTCCACTGCTACCTTTAACATTACGAATTTCCCCAATGCCAGCTGAAGAGCCTGGAAGAAACCTGCATGTCTTATTTCTACCTTAGTACTGGTATTTTATATATATATATATGAGCAAAAATGCAAGTGGCAAACACTCATGCATACACACACGCATTACTGGACAAAATATAGCGCTATGAAAATGTTCTTGAAGGACTGTTGATCAAAGGTGTCAGGTAAGATGGTTGCCCATTCCACTGGAATTTAAAGAACTGAACTATCTGTAATGTCTTTTCACTATTTGAAGATTACATTACAGCGTACATAGCATCATGAACATTTGCATTAAAAACAGGGAAACAGCTAACCTTGAGATGACTGAGAGTATCTTCTGTGTTTTGGCCAGGGCTTGGCAGGGCTGCTGTTGTGTTGCACAGGGGATCCTCCACCTTGTTGGTGTGGAAGCCATGCCTGTGGCACTGGGTATTCATTACGTGACTGACTATGAGGCTGTTTGCTTGTGCTAGTAACATCTGCCAAGTTTGATGTAGTTCGCACTTCTGACCCAGTACTGGGAACACGCTGCATTGTGCTGCTTCCTGGCAAGGTATGATGTTTCCCAATGTTGTTACAGTTTATGCCAGTCAAGTTACTTAAAGTGGACTTGCTAGGTGTGGCACTGAGGTGGTGGAGTTGATGATGTTGGTGGATGTTTGGCGAGCTGTCTCTGCTACCCTCACTCATGTCCACAGCCTGGTCAGAATCCTACAGAAAAATTGCATTTAACAAAAACTGGAGAAATACTAACCTAATCTCCCCCATTAAAAAGTTAAAGGCACCTGGTATTGGGCAAGGCAGGTATCCTAAGTTGGATTAGGGCTTGGTTATTTCAAAGCAAGCAGTGTTAGCATAAATGGAATTAAGTCCGAGAGGGGGAAATATTAGAAGTAGAGTACCCCAGGGCTCTGCCCTGGAACCTCTGTTGTTTATCCTATATATGGGCAATTTACACACAGGATTGAACAGTAACATTTGTAAATTTCCAGATGATACAAAAATAGTGCAGGAAATAAATTCAAATGAAGACACAATATCACTACAAGATGATCTAGATTGCCTTTTAAAATGGACAAAAGCTTGACAGATTTAGAACTTTACTGTTGAAAAATAGAGGGTCTAAGCTTTGGTAATAATAATAGTTACCAGGTATCAGTTGAACAATGTTGAAATTGCAAAATCTGAATGCAAAAAAGATCTGGGATTCCAGATTAGTAGGGATCTTAAGCCAATAAATCACTGCATAAATGTACAAAATAAAGAAAATAGTACATTGGTTATTCTTAGCTTTATAAATAAGACATCTATGCAACTGGGATATATATATACACAAAGATATGTACCCAATTTCTCCTAGTATATACAGTTTACTTTAGCCCTCAACTTTGTTCAGGACTAAATTTTAATTTATACTTGCTGGTTGGTCAGTAAATATTGTGGTGGCCTTACAACAAACCCTCCCTTTAAGCACACCATAACACAGAAGACATCTAATAGTGTTCTTTGGCTTTATCTTGCATTTTTTAGGCCCCATTTATATTATGCACTTCTCTTTAGTGCTACATACTAACGAATGAACACAAATTTACTGGAATGCATACAGAGAAAGATGGCAAAGTTATTGAGAATAAGGGTGAAATGATTGAAGTATATAATTAAATTAAGGGTATAATAAGAAGGATATAAATAATGGATAATGGGGATAACAAAGACATAAATAATGGATAAAACAGTATAGTAGTAGGCATCCATCAGTCTCAGGAGACTATGGAGTTGCACCCTGGTTGTCGGCCTGGAGTAGCCTTTCCAGGGCACAAAGCCTAGGTAGGTCAATATGGGTATACCAAGAATATAAACAATGGATAAAAGGGTATAACAAGTAGGATATAATGGATAAAAGGGCATAACAAGTAGGATATAAATAATGGATAAAAGGAATAACAAGAAGGCTATGACTAATGGATAAAAGGATATAGCAAGGGGATATGAATAATGAATAAAAGGGTATAGCATGTGGATGTAAATAATGGATAAAAGGGCTATAACAAGAATATAAATAATGGATAAAAGGATATAACAAGAATACAGTATAAATAATGGATAAAAGGGTATAAAAAGGGGGGGGGGGGTAGAATATAAATAAGGTTTTAAATGAATCAACACAAATTTGAACATGAAACAATGTATATAAATTGGATACATTTTGACTCAGGAAAGACCTAGGTAAATACTGGCTTGGAAATTTTACGTAGTAATGTTTAACATTCATATTTCAGCATTAAAAAAAAATACAAGAAACATTAAAAAAAAAAAAAAAAATGCCACGATGATCCAAAACCATGTTCAAAATAATCTCAACCTCACCCAATCATATTCATATATAATTTTTCTTTTACCTCCTCTTTATCATGTCTACATGCTTCATACTAACAAAGTCCTTGGAATGCGGGTCATAAATTATCATCACATGAGAAAATACAGCATCAGTTTACCCATGCAAAATCATCCATCGATTTGGATACCATGGATACCAGAGTCATTCAATAGACTGTTGTGATTAACTCTAATCATCCCAAATAACAAACATTATACCACAGCTCATCTCTTTAACACTTATGTGTTATTAATATTTCAGTATCTCACTCTTAAAGTTCACACTAAGTTGAATTTTTACCCAAAACTTTCGTTTGCTGAAAGTGCCAACAGTTACTACCAGTATTCATCATATATCAGAATGACATCTATACTTTAAAATGCTAATAATTCAATCATTAAATTTACAGTACTCATGATTAGTACAAATTCCAGCTAAATGAGGTTCAGTTGTGTTCCTCATAATACAAGAGATGAAGATAATAACAATTAATAGATGCACTGTATTTCTATTCAACTTACAGTGTCATCACTAACAGACGAGACGGAGGAAGGAGGAGTGGAATGCGGCTCGGACGCTTCGGACGACAACGTATCGTCATCTGCTACACTGGATTTATTATGCGTATTATCGTTATTGTTGTTATTGTTTTTGTTGCTGTTGTACTGGTTATCAGATGTGACCTGTATAGAAAAATTACTATTATTAACTTTCTACTGGATGCACTCAATGAGTTAAAGAACAAAATAAGTTTACTGTAGTTGAATACTAATGCACCTTACTAAGACCTGGAGTGTAATGTAACTTTACACATTCACTGGTAGCAATTCAGCACATTTAAATTATATAGTTTTGGCATACTAGTATTAATCTGCTAATGGACACCACAGTACACTGTATAACATTTTGCCTTCCTTTCAACCTTGACTACAAATGTCTCATATATATTAAGCAAATATAACCATGTTCAATGACATTTACATTACTAATATCCTTTTACTACAGAGATCTACTTAATAAAATAAAGTAGGCACAAACACAATGGCCTGAAAATCTATCATTAAGAAACCCCTCAGAGGAGGCTGCTTCAGTTATCTAACTTCCTAGAAGACTATCTTGTCATGTTCTTTGCATACAAGGTTGATATATTATTAGATCAAAACATAACAATGTACTCAGTAAATATTATTTAACTTGTAGTGTCATTGTTCCTTCTTTCAAGTTTGATCTTTTTTATAACATCCGACGTAAATTTTTTTATTCCAAGTTATGGGTGTGTTTACTCTTATCTATCTAACTGTAGAAATCTTTTGTCTTGTGATGTTAATCTGCATCACCATTCAACTTAATTATATCACATTCAACTGTATACCTGAAGATGATTTTGAGTGTGGAACGCAACTGGAGGAGTGGGCGGTGTGGCTGGATGTGTAGGGGTCAGATGATGAGTGGTGCTGGGGGCTATGGATCCAGACACAGGAAACGTTTTCCGAATCCAATGCCGGTACAAAATTACATCGTCCGTTATCCGCAAGATTCGGCCAAGTATGGAGTAGTGGTTTGGATCATTTATTATGTTGTTAAGAGGGTTCACAGCCTGTAATAACATGACAATTAAGTTACCTGTATTACATGCACATTGTTACACTACAAAATTTAACTCCTATTGTCTTAGAAGAACTACTTTGCCAAAAGAATGATGGCTTTTTGTAAATATTGAATGGGGGTAAATTATGTAATTATTATTAACCTAAGCCTAAAAAGTTGCTATATTATAAAAGCTAACAATAAATTATATTACCTGAGATAAAACAATATATGCATATTCAAATGCCTGTTTAACTTGCAAGACGCCGTATGAAGATCGTCCAATATCATTGCCAGGTATGAGGGGATCTTCTATACACAAGACGGACGGTCGATGACCCTCCGGCATGTCTCTCTGCACCTGCACAAATTGATACAAAGGGTAATTCAGTCAAGAAATGGAAACACTTATTATCAAGAGACTAAACAAAATACAAAACACTGCAATTGGAGTGTCCACACTTCACCCTTCTGTATGTATGCATATGTATATGTATGTATGTGTGTGTCTGTATATATATATATATATGTCGTACATAGTAGCCAGAACGCACTTCTCAGCCTACTATGCAAGGCCCAATTTGCCTAATAAGCCAAGTTTTCATGAATTAAGGTTTTTTCGACTACCTAACCTACCTAACCTAACTTTTTCGGCTACCTAACCTATAAAGATAGGTTAGGTTAAGCTAGGTAGAGTTGGTTAGGTTCGGTCATATATCTACGTTAATTTTAACTCCAATAAAATAAAATTGACCTCATACATAATGAAATGGGAAGCTTTATCATTTCATAAGAAAAAAATTAGAGAAAATATATTAATTCAGGAAAACTTGGCTTATTAGGCAAATCAGGCCTTGCATAGTAGGCTGAGAAGTGCGTTCTGGCTACTAGGTACGACATTATATATATATATATATATATATATATATATATATCGATCGTACCTAGTAGCCAGAATGCACTTCTCGGCCTACTATGCAATGCCCGATTTGCCTAATAGGCCGAGTCATTTTCTTTATTTTCTATTAACTGTTTCCAATTGGTTTATTTTAATTATTATTATTATTATATCATATTAGGAACATAAATTATTGACTTAGTTATGTTAGTTTAGGTTAGGTTAGGTTAAGTAGGGTTGGTTAGGTTAATACAGGGTACCACCTCTGGCTCTGGTGTGCAAGTGTGGGGACCCATAGTCTCAGGGAAGAAAATAAAAGAGTATTCAGAGAGGACCTTGTGGATTCTCACTGAACACTTTAATATTTTCTTCTCCTACCACCCCAATTCTTTTGTATATATATATATATATATATATATACATGTATATTTGCTTAATTTAAACTTTGTTACAAAAAGGGAGTTACATATATGGTACAAAGATGATTATCATAAGTTGTCGAGTGCCTCCAGCTCCTCAGATGGCGGGCAGGAACCCTGAATGCAGCGTGCATTTCCCCTCTGTATCACCACGCTGAGGCGCCGGAAAAGGAAGTTGGCAGCTCTAGGGTCTTTTGTTGTTTCCATTAGCCTAGAACCCAGTTTCTTACAAAAACTGGTGGCACTCTTACCCCAGGCGCCGAGTGTCTCAGGCAATGGGGACTTGGGGGAAGCACTTTGACCCTCAGAACAGAAAGACCACAAAAGCAGCACCCCACAGTCCTACCTACTGAACCACCAGCACCCACAATCATGAAGGATACCAGACAGACCCATCTAGTGTTCAAATGAAACTTTAGCCCTTCCTTGGGGTAGTATACATTGCAAAACCACATGGCATTCTTATCAGGAATACCCAGTAATAAGCATCTGAGTGTTAATGAGTCCCTAGCTACTACTTATAAAGCACTATTCCCTAACTACTAATAATAAAGCACTATTCCCTAGTTACTAACCTCATCCTTTGAGATATAAGCTCCACCATCCTTGATTCTGATGCCAGTCTTCAAGTAGTTGAAGTGTCTGCCATAAAGCTCAAAAAACTCTATCAGCAAGACTCCAAGGTTAGCATTGGGCTGTGATGCATCTAGCCGCTGATGTAACTGAAATGTGGAACAACATTAGTCACAACATTGGTGTCTGATGAAGTATTTCTCTCTCTTTAATACGTTGTTTCTCATGGCAACTCTCAGTCCTTGAGAGGGTGATCACATACATAATTGTCTCTAGAGAGAGCAAGAGGGAAGAGAAAAAAAAGGAGTTGATTGTACTGAAACTCCAATTTCTGTTTGAGTCGCAGTGGCTCCTTGAAGCTATCTCTGATAATGTGCCGAATTACTAAATGCCATCAGTTGCGGACTTCTTTTAGGCCTACCGAGAACAATGAGCCAAAATCCTCACAGAGGTGCAGGGAGCAGTGGCACTGTCTTAAGTACCACTGCTCTCTGCACCTCCCTGGAGGGGAGCCAGGTTCTGGCTCATGGTCCCTGGTAGGGCTAAACGAACTCCACAACTGATGACTCCTAGTAGTTTGGCACTATATCAGTATAGTAGCTTAAGAGCCACAAGGGGACTCTCCCAAAATAAAATAATTTCTCTTTCTTCTTACAAGCTGCTGCCATTCACCCTTGTCCCTTACCATATCCTGTGATGTCCACACACTCTTGCTACTGTACTTCTTTGCACTCGATCTGTCTGACTTCTTCCCAGCCTTCCTCTTCTTTAACCCTCAAATACACTCTCTTTCTTTGCCAGTCTGCCATCATTCATTAATTTAACATGCCTAAACTATCTCTTTGTTTGCTTTAATCCTGTGGTGTACTGACTTATGCATGCCTCATCTCTCCTTGACACTTTTATTCCTTATATTATCTATTTTCGTAACACTGCACATGTTTCACAACCATACCCGAGAGTCTGCACTACCATCCTTCATGCAGCCCTTTGGCCACATTATGTTCCTATATACTACTAAGTGGTACAATTAGCCTTGCATCCTTTGACATGTATGTGGAGGACTGGGCTGATGACCCATCTTCTCAAAATTTCTTGCCATTTAGACAAAAACTACCCAAGCCTGAAGCATTGAAACTTGAAAACATAAATGATCGAATGCTTTCACCAAAACACTCACAATAGGTTTACATTATTATGTACTCAAAAGAAATTACTAAAGCACAATAGCAGCCAAATACCTATATACATTAGTATTAATGACTTCATCTTTAACAAAGTATAATATGTAAGTGTTCTGCTTTAAACACATAGTACTGTACTACTGTATAAGATGACAACTTTCAATTCAGTCACCTGTAGAAAACTGACAGTCATGAGGATGAGGGAATATGAGGATATTCCACCCGTGAACACCTCGTTCAAGTCCCTCTGGAGGAGAAACTGCTTGAGCACCATGACTAGCTTGGGCAGGGCAGGAAAGCGGTGCTTAAATTCTTTTATTAGACGTGCAGAATTTACACCACTGCTCATGTTGAAAGAAATGTCCACCTTAACGTCCGTTTCACTGTCCGTTAGTTTCACAATTGGCACCTGTTACAAGAAAAAATATATATATTGTATATAATTTGTTAATATCTCACTTAAAACATACATACAATAAATATATATATATATATATATATATATATATATATATATATATATATATATATATATATATATATATATATATATATATATACACACACATACATACATACATACATACATACATACATACATACATACATACATACATACATACATACACACACACACACACACACACACTGGCTGACTGTCCCTAGATACAATAAATTATATTAAAATTACACAGTACTCACTGTTTTATCAGTTATGTGTACTAAATTAAGTAACTCATCCCAATAAGTAAGTGAAGCCACAAACTTAAAAACCATCCAACTTGAGTATTCGAGTTCTTGCCCCCAACTCATGAACCAGAAAACTGCATACCTAGTGACCCCTCCACACAGTACACAGCTACTGTGCACCTGCCACATTACCAGAAAAGAAGCAGTAGTTTTTTGTTTATAAAGGTGTGAGGTGACAATTTTAATGGCAGCCATACACTGAGGGGTAATAAATCATCTCAGTCCAATAGGGTACAGTTGTGCAGCTTTATAAATGTTGTGTCGATCCTGAAGGGGAATATATCACTTGCAGTGAACTACTGTATTGGCAAATTAGCTCAACACCTATTATGGAAAAATTATTTGAATCAATAACTGCAAAAGCAGCAATATGATGATCAAGACCTGATGATACCTGCACTCTAATGGTTAAAAACTGTTTGAAAATCTGCTATGAGACACATATCCCAATAACAACAGAGATCTTGAACCACTAAATAAGTCTAAGAAATGTTAAATATCACATGCTCATTATCAACAATTTTGGAACAAAAATAAAATAAAAATTAATTCAATGAAAACAAAATGGGATCCACTTTTCAAGGGGATTTGTAATCAGAAGACAACTTACTGATGCTCTGTCTAAGACTTTGAGCGAGGAGGGTTCAGCTATCTTGTTGTCAAGTAGAGCTTTCTCTAATGTCCGTAAAGGTAAGGCATCCCACTTCCCTATGACTACCAGATCAATGTCACTGAAAATAAAAAGTCATCTTTAACAATGATGAAAGTGAAGTAATGACATTAAGAAAGTGTTTCTTGCAGTAACAATAATTTTGAAAATTATTATTACAGTAGCTGCTTCACTTTTGATAGCCAATCCAGTGTGTAGAATTCTATGACAAAATGCTTTAGATGCTCATTTGAATCTGCAACACACAAAGGCATCCATATCGTCTTAGGATGATTATACTTACAAGGTATGAAATTCATAAGAAGGTACTCACCAAGGTATGAGTTCATAAGAACAATAGGCATAAAAATTATTCATGATATAATAAAGAATCAGATCTAAAGTTTAATGAAACTTCAACAAATTCTGCAAAGGAGTGCCAGCTTGGGTCAACACTTGGAAAGCACTCATTGAATCTGATATAAACTCTGGGGGATAAATTTAGGAAAGGGTGTACCCTTCTCTACTGAAGAATCTCTTTCATGGTGAAATGTGTGTTCAGAGAGTTATAAGGGAAAGATGAATTGGCTGTTTATATGAAGTAAAAAGGAAGAGGGATTATAGTGTTATTTGTAATGATGCACGAGATTAAAGTTGGACCGGTAGCCTATGCATGTGATTGCTGGCTACAAGGACCCTACATTAAGTAATAGTCCACATTCTTGGCAATGATATCAGCATGGACTAGGAACATTTGGCATTACTGGTAAAGTGTACATGTTATCTCTAAATATTGGGGCAGGTTATGGCCATCAAACACAAAAAAAGATTGTGGGTATTGTACCCACAATCCAGACATACCAGTCACTACCATAAAAAATAAATACACCAATGATATCATGTTCATTAGAAGCTTATTTATTATTGTTATATTATTCTGCAAACATGTTGCCTCCAGCTTCATGGAAAGAACAGTGCATAACAGTAATTACCTGGTGGGCAAGTAGAGGCCGGTACGAAAGCTACCAAATATTTCCACTCTTGCTTGAGGCCACAGGTCAACAATGATCTGCTCAATTCTCTCGACAACTCGCTTACGCATGGTGTGTTCTTCCTCACTGGGGCACATCCAAGAGTAGAAGTCTTCCATTTCTTGGTGCAGCCTGTAAAGAGAAGCCAGTCATTTTATCTTTCTTAATAGTAATACTACTACTAAATCCTATACAATAAAGCATTAAATAGCAATTTTCTCATTCTAAACTAAAAAAAACGTTAACTTACTCAAAATCTGGTGATTCTACTGGCTTTTCCCCTAAACAATGGGAACTGAGATACTCTGCTGCTCATCTCATTTTCTCACATCCACCATTAATTTAAAGACAAGTGAGGTTTATACAGCATTATTTACAATAACTTCCAGACAGAAAACTTTGATAAAGACAAGGGAACTATATGTTGACAGTGGTGCCTATTCATTACCTGTGGCTTGCAAGGATAAGCCAGCAAGATTTCAAAACACACAACAGGTGGAACTTGGGGCCTTAGTGTACAACTGCCCAAAAGTCTCAGTATCCACTTTTACCTTTATTATGTACGGCATGTATATCTAGTCCCTTGCCCATGATGACATCACCCTCACTACCATTGACATGGCTCTTCAGCAGCCCACAGATGATACGAGAATCACTATGAAATATCATCTGTCAAAGATGTCAAAAATCTAGTCACCAATCAAATTTTTCAATGAGCCATTGGAAATTATGATATTCAAGTGAAATTTCTTCATGCAGATAACTCAATGAAATATTTAAAACTAGAGTATACATATGATAGAGCATACATAAGAAGAGTAAGCAATCTTGAAATGATTACTTACATCTGATGAACTTACCTTGGTAAAGCAAAATTAATTATCACATTAACAAAGATAATATGAATAATGAATAGTTTTCAAACAAGAAATACTAAGCTACTAATTCAAAACATTTACTGTGAACAAATGAACACAGTATTTCAAGGGTGGTTAACTGTCAAGTTGGCTTAGGAAGAGAGCTACTTTCCTTTCCTGGCTTACTCTATTCTTAACTTTGCTTACACATTCCTCTTTTTATAAGGAAATTCTTTGTTGTTATATCAGAAAAACTTTGTTGTCTGTGACTGAGAAAATTCACTTGTCTTTATCCTAATTATCAACAATAAGACAAATTCCTTCCAGTGAGGTTACAGTGTGATCAAAGCGTAGGTCATGCATTCAAGGGTGCATATCCTCTGTGTCCTGTGGCTTCTTTTTGTCATTACAAATTAGCTATATCATAGTGTTTCTGATAGTTTTCCCTAGTTTTAGATAGTTGATAGATTTCTATATCTATGCTTCCCTGCCCAAAGGATCACATTTCTTGATTACAGTATTCTGTAGGTTTGGCAAGTTTAATAAGCCCAATTTAAACCTCTGAGCTCGTGACTTGCATAAATAAGCTGCAGTACATAACAGCCATTTTCTCAGCCATGTCATGATTAGAGATACGAACAAGGGGTTTCTTGAGGACCTATCGAGTCTTCATCAAGCACTACATCCCAAAAATTCCATGCCTGTAATGCCAATATGGCATTAGGAAGCCCATCATGTAGAACTTCTGGTACCTGTGGTGCCAGTGCTTTCCGTCGTTTTCTCTTATCAAGTGTCATTTACAGTATCTACACCCTTCTGCTTCAGCACCACTATGCCTTCCAGGTAACTTTACCAGTAAAACTACTGTATTTTGCTTTTCATCTTTCATTTGTTGAACATTCTTACCTTGGCAAACAAGTTAATTAACTTGACAACTCGGCCACCAGACCGAGTGCCCTGTGTGTGCAAAAGCTCCTTTCTGAGCAGAATCATTTGGTTGCTCCAGGTCCTTTCCTTTTTGTCCAGACTTTCCTGTTCTCTATTTCATCTTGGGTCAGGGATCATATTAATTAACAGTTCTGGATTGTAGTGGTCAGTAGGGTGCCAGCAGGCAAATAAATAATTTGTTGAAACTCTGTTGCCAGTCACTTGTAATGCCAAATGAAAGCTTGGAAAGGCTTTAAGGGTTTATAAATACAGTATCTCTTCTGCCGGCCATTTTGGGTTTCATTAAGTGATCTCCGGTGACTCTGACATGACCTTGTAGGATGATTTTAAATTTCCTATAGTGCCAGTGCCAGTATTCATGGTCCTGGCCTATAGCACAGCAGATCTTTTCTTAAGAGGTAACCCCAATGATTCTACTTAGGAAGATGCTTTTCATATACTGTACATTTTTTTTATTTAATTATCAGGGGGGAAAGTGACAAGATATTACAACTTCATAGCACTGGGAAGGGGTCAGAACAAGGATGTGGGATGGGATGGGGGGGATGGAATGGTGCCCAACCACTTGGATGGTCAGGAATTGAACGCCAACCTGCATGAAGCGAGACCGTCGCTCTACTGCCTGTCAAGGTGGCTTCGATATACTGAACAGTATACTCAAAGCCTAGTTTTTACAGCAACAATTAGATTAGTGCAAACAAAAACAGATGACCATGCTACAATGCTATCTATTAAAAGCTACCAACTTGTACTCTAGAATAAAATGATACAAAATTAACACACAGTATATAGCAATGAAGATATAGCTTCAGTACATACAGTATCTAATAATAATTATACCAATTAATCAATTTAAAAATGAACTAACATATTTTGGAGGGGTGGTTGTAGTTTCAAAGATAACAAGTTATATCATGAATTAAATACAATACAATACACTGTATAAATAAATTGTATTCCAGACCAGACTATATTACAATCTAGCTATGTATCATACAATAATAAAAAAAAAACTAGCTTACCTAGTGGCAATATGTGGCTAAAGGTCTGATTATCTGTACGTTAAAACTGAATTCCTATTAATATTTTCATTCACGTTTTTTAATTTATAACAGAATTTTGGCTGGAGTCCAAACACTGGAGCCAAGAGGTTATTCAGTGCTCAGCCACATGGTCTTTCCCTAGTTATCAAGTGACAACTATATTTAATACAGATGGATAGGGTAAGGCCTAAATATAGAGCTAGAAATGTAACCATATTCAGCCAATCCTCCTAAAATGATAGTATTTATAGTAACTATTTGGTGGAAGTACTAATATGTAGTGAAGGACCACTAAAAAGTTGAATTTTGTATTGTTGAATTTGGCCAAAGGGGAAACATTTTTAGCCAAAACATAAATATAGAACCTAACCTAAGCAAGGATCTCCAAGCAATCCTAGGCATAATACACATGACCCTAGCGCTAAACAAATAACAGATGGCCACTGAGCATAATGCAGCACATAACTGCTCACAATGAGAGCCAGGAGGCCTCTGGGTCTGGTACTGTGGTTGCAGCTAACCCCTGCCATGGCATCATGTAGTCATTGCATACTTCTGTCTAACATCTTTCACCCACAAGACCAGCATTTTTTTCCTGCTATAAGTAGGCACTGCCTTGAGCAGTGCATAGTTTTACTAAGTACTGTATTGTAGTATAGCATCAAAAATATTTACAATATAATTTGTTTTATAAATATTTAGCTACATGATGGACAGTATATATAGAACATGAGTGATGTAGACATTAAGATAACACTATACATTATTTGAATCCAGCATCTAATAATGTATGCACACAATCTAAAAGTATATAATTGACATGGTTAGGCTGATTATATGGTTATGGATGTTTCATCTTGGGGCCAAATATTTTGATCACCACAAGATTTACATAGCCTACTGTAAACAAACTGAGGACTTATGAGGGTAGATGTTTCTGGGGAAAAAAACAATGGCAGGTCAGTCACTCAATCTATATGAACTCTATCATAAGAACATAAGAACATAAAAACAAAGGCAACTGCAGAAGGGCTATTGGCCCATACCAGGCAACTCCTATCTATAACCACCCACTCCCACTCATATACATGTCCGACCCACGCTTTTATCATAACCTAATAGCATTTATCAGGTTAAAATAACAAATTTTTGATTGGAAGGCCATGCAGTTCCTAAACAATATATACATACAGTATTTAGACCTATGTTAGTACAGTATTAGCATTGCCTACACTCCAAACTGATATAGGCCTATTCAGATGACTCAATCATGAGGCACTTTGCTATTTCATCTTTTTTTTTTATTATGTAACAACAATTTCATCGCTGCCCTCAGATCATTGCTGTACATCCCATGCCACCCCCTGTAGATGATGGGGTCACTCCCCCCTCTCAGGCAACAGATTGCCCCCTGCAGGTGATGGGTCATCTCCCACAGGTGACAAGTCATGAGGACAGGTATGAGGTGACTAGGATAGATATGTGGTGACGAGGGCAGGTGTGAGGTGACGACGGCAGGTGTGAGGTGACGAGGGCACGTGGGAGGGGGGACGAGGACACGTGGGAGGGGGACGAGGACACGTGGGAGGGGGACGAGGACACGTGGGAGGGGGACGAGGACACGTGGGAGGGGGACGAGGACACGTGGGAGGGGGACGAGGACACGTGGGAGGGGGACGAGGACACATGGGAGGGGGACGAGGGCAGGTGTGAGGTGACGAGGACAGTTGTGAGGTGACGAGGGTAGGTGTGAGGTGACGAGGGCACGTGGGAGGGGACGAGGGCACGTCGGAGGGGACGAGGGCACGTGGGAGGGGACGAGGGCACGTGGGAGGGGACGAGGGCACGTGGGAGGGGACGAGGGCACGTGGGAGGGGACGAGGGCACGTGGGAGGGGACGAGGACAGGTGGGAGGGGACGAGGACAGGTGGGAGGGGACGAGGACAGGTGGGAGGGGACGAGGACAGGTGGGAGGGGACGAGGACAGGTGGGAGGGGACGAGGACAGGTGGGAGGGGACGAGGACAGGTGGGAGGGGACGAGGACAGGTGGGAGGGCACGAGGACACGTGGGTGGGCACGAGGACAGGTGTGAGGGGACAAGGACAGGTATGTGGCGACGAGGACAGGTATGTGGCGACGAGGACAGGTATGAGGTGACGAGGACATGTGGGAGGGCACTAAGACACGTGGGAGGGCACGAGGACATGTGGGAGGGCACGAGGACATGTGGGAGGGCACTAGGACACGTGGGAGGGCACAAGGACACATGGGAGGGCACGAGGACATGTGGGAGGGGACCAGGACACGTGGGAGGGGACCAGGACAGGTGGGAGGGCACGAGGACACGTGGAAGTGCACGAGGACACGTGAAAGGGGACGAAGACACGTGGAAGGGGACGAAGACACGTGGAAGGGGACGAAGACACGTGGGAGGGGACGAGGACAGGTGGGAGGCAATGATGACAGGTGCACACCAATGAGGATGAGTGGGAGATGTTGAGGACAGGTGTAAGGGTGATGAGGAGATGTGAGATGAAGAGGACAGGTGTGAGGTGGTGATGACATGTGGGAGGTGGAGAGGACAGGTCAGAGATGGGAACAGGTAGGTGATAAGGGATGAGGGGACAGGTGGAAGGTGATAAGGGATGAGGGGACAGGTGGAAGGTGATAAGGGAATGTTGTAAGTAATGAGAACAGGTGTGAGGTGATGGGGACAGGTGTGAGGTGATGAGGACAGGTGTGAGACCAGCACCCCAGGTCAGGTGACTCACCCAACGACACCCAGATCGTAGCTATTGGGCTCCCGGCGCCAGGGACAGCCACCAAACTGTCCTATGAGGTTCTTGTGGTTGTGGTTGAGGCCGTAGGTGCTGGCGCGATTCTCTCGTTTCCTTTTAGTCCTGTTGTAATAACTATTATTAGCATTAACACTGGCATTTTTGTTAGTCCTGGACGCGTCATCGGCACTAAGGGGAATGTATTCGTGGTTCATATTAGCGTCGTTGAGATTCATGTTGTCAAGACCCTGTTGGGTGAGCCAAATTCTGGCCCAGAGGTCTCTAGCGGGGCCTTGCTGTTCGGGCTGATACCAGCCTATACTGGGATCCATCCGCCCGAGGAAAGCGCTCCACACGCGGGCAACACCTCGCTACACCTCTGCCCTCTCTCCTCGCCGAGTGTAGGCATTAAACACGACATAAATCAATCGGTTTAGGCGAGTCCACCACGACACAGCAATGGTCGCACACAAGACAATCCCAACACTGAACTCCAGCACACGCCAGCAACTATTGTCCAGGACACAATCCCTCGGGGGACATTATTACCCCAGCAGGCCTTCCTCATTCACACAAACTTCAATATCGTTATAAATATCTAGTATGAGGCTACAAAGGGTAGCAAGTAATGTTTTATTGAGTAAAGAAGGTGAGGCGGCATCATAGTTTCTCGTAGGATCATTTAGAAAGAGGTGCCAAATCTCGTCAACGTGCACGAGGGCCCAGACGCGGCAACAGTGTTATGAAATGTGATCTCTGTATGCAAGGCTGTGTGCACTGTGCACCATGCATGTGCACTGTGCACCATTCATGAGAACTGTGCACTGTGCACCATGCATATCCACTGTGCAGCATGTATGTCAACTGTGCACCATGCATGAGAACTGTGCACCATGCATGTCCAATATGCACCATGCATGTCCACTGTGCACCATGCATGTCCACTGTGCACCATGCATGTGCACTGTACACCATGTGTTACACTGCGCCATGTACACCATGTATGTGCACTATGTACCATGTATTATACTTTGCACTATGTATATGTATAATGCATGTGCACTGTGCACGATGTATGTGCGCTATTTATTTATTCATTTATATACAAGAAGGTACATTGGGTTAATGAGAGTACATAGCATTGATGCTTTTACATTCTTGTAAAGCCATTAACACGCATAGCGTTTCGGGCAGGTCCTTAATCTAACAAATAATTTTAAGAAGGTAATTTCTAGCAAAATTGAGAAATGTTAACGAGTACATTGTAAAAAAAAAATTGACGAAGAATAATGCACCATGTATGAGTATTGTGTACCGTGTATATACAATGTGCATCATGTGTGTACACTGTGCACAATGTATGGTCAGTGTGCACCATCTGTGTGCACTGCGCACCATGTATATGTAAAGTGCACCATGTATGTGCACTGTGCATGACAGGCGTAGGGACAAGCCGCCGGCTTCCAGTTCTCGTCAAAAAATTACCTAAAATTGTTTAGGTAATTTTGACCCTCAGGTAAATTCAGGTATTTGCACTGCATTATGTATGTACTTACCTAGTTGTGCTTGCGGGGTTTGAGCTCTGGCTCTTTGGTCCCGCCTCTCAACTGTCAATCAACTGGTGTACAGGTTCCTGAGCCTACTGGGCTCTATCATATCTACACTTGAAGCTGTGTATGGAGTCAGCCTCCACCACATCACTGCCTAGTGCATTCCATTTGTCTACTATTCTAACACTGAAAAAATTCTTTCTAATGTCTCTATGGCTCATTTGGGCACTCAATTTCTTCCTGTGTCCCCTAGTGCGATGTATGTACAGTATATTGAATATGCTGTGCACCATGTAGGTACACTGTGCACCATGTATGAGCACTGTGCACCATGTATGAGCACTGTGCACCATGTATGAGCACTGTGCACCATATATGAGCTCTACGTATGTGCACTATGCCCCCAATGTATCTTCACTGTATACCATGTATGTGAGCACTACATCTTATATATGTCTAGTATAATACATCATAAATTTGTACATTGGCATATGTATGTGCACAACATGTGAGCACTGTAGCAACTAATTGTGCATGCAGCTGACTGACTATCAAACAATGTACTACATATCATACATTAGGATATACAGTATATACAAGAAAATCACAAAAGCACGTGATTAAATTATATGTGAGTATCCACTCAAGTGAAAAACAACGAAAATAGTCCGAGCGTTATCGTGCATTAACACATGTTCAAGGAATACAGTAGTGTACATTGTATTCCTTGTGGCCCTGGTGTACGGGTGTCGGACGTGTCCGCCGCGGCCCGCCGCCACCCACACCACACCATCCTACACCATACGTCGCTTTTCGCGCGTATGCGTTACATAAGGCCAAAAATTGTCGTACTATAAAATGGAAGCGGCTGGCGAAAGTGACGTACTGTCCCGTTTTCTGTATTGGGTCCTCTGGTAGGTTAGGATAAATGAAAAGTAATATAATAAGTTCAAAGTACTAGGATAAAACTCCATATTAAACTTTATAGTAAGATAAAATCGTGCTGATTTAAGCCACCATATATGACGACTCACCCGACTAATGTCCTCGTAGGTCGACTCACCCGACTAATGTCCCCGTAGGTCGACTCACCCGACCTGTCTCCGTAGGTCGACTCGCCCGACTAATGTCCTCGTAGGTCGACTCACCCGACTAATGTCCTCGTAGGTCGACTCACCCGACTAATGTGCTCGTAGGTCACTCACCCGACTTATGTCCTCGTAGGTCGACTCACCCGACCTATGTCCTCGTAGGTCAACTCACCCGACCTATGTCCCCGTAGGTCGACTCACCCGACCTATGTCTCCGTAGGTCGACTCACCCGACCAATGTCCCCGTAGGTCGACTCACCCGACCAATGTCTCCGTAGGTCGACTCACCCGACCAATGTCCCCGTAGGTCGACTCACCCGACCTATGTCTCCGTAGGTCGACTCACCCGACCAATGTTCCCGTAGGTCGACTCACCCGACCAATGTCTCCGTAGGTCGACTCACCCGACCCATGTTCCCGTAGGTCGACTCACCCGACCCATGTCCCCGTAGGTCGACTCATGCTGAGTGAGTCGACCGAGTCGTGAGTTTACGTTTGTGGTGCATTAATGACAAACAGTTTTTACTTTACCTTGATCACAAATTTCATATATATTGATCACAAATATATATTAGTCTATAACTAATTACCTCTATTAGTAGAGGGCCACTAACACTAGTGGTCTCGACGAGGACAGTAAGCCGACGGCTTTTTTCATAGGTCCCCCCATGTGCTTTGAGGATTTTTTTCCAGCTGGATTTTAAAATTTAACAGGTTTAACATTTACGGTTTCGGCGGGTAGGCAGTTCCATGGGTTAATAACCCTGTGGTTCTCAATCCTTCACTGTAGCTGGTTGAGCTTGAAACATTTGCTCCTTGTTTGTGTTACATATGACCTTTTGAAGAAATTGTCCGGAATAATTAGTCAGTTAGTCAGCTTGTGGGGGTTGCATCCTGGGCGGGGTCAGCAATTTGACCTTGAGGGAGGGGGGGGTACATTGATATAAGCCTAACGTGCATGAATACACTCTGGCTGCCTGTCCCCCCGTCACAATGAGTCATTATTATTATTAAATCTAGGTAAGAGTGTGTGTGGGTGGCGCGGACACTGGGAGCCATGGGAGCGTGGAGCAGCATTTCGACCCTGCCGGCCTCCCCAACACGCTATCCTCTAATAGACCACTGTCTCACAGCTGCTTCCTTACCCACACTTATCTACTGAATCAGTGATACAAAATTATTACCATTATTATTACTCATATATATAATTATTATTAGTAATATTTATACCAGTGATAATATTATATGTTGTGGGAGTTATAGCGTGGGTCCCTAGTGTTGACAGTGGCAGCGGGGCTTCAGGGACGCTACCACTCCTCTCGTTACCGGACGCTTGCTTTGTCTTCTTCACTAGTCACCTACAGCAGGTAACACCCCTCTCATACTCTCCCTCGCACCTCCATACTGACGCCCACACACCCGCCTCCACACCCACACGCCCACTAGAGGCATGAGACGTGGACACGAGGAAGCTCGGCTTCCTCTTCCCGCCCGGGAAAGGTACGTTTGCAATTTGTACTGCAGATTACTTCATCTGGTTATTGCTGGGTGTTAATGATGGCGTTGGAGGCAGGTGTGCTGCCAATATTGTGTGTGCTGGCCTCTAGACACTAAGGGGATGGGTGATGTGCCGGCATCTTGCCTGGCCTTCCTTATGGGTCTATAGAATATCCCCCAGAGCCAACCAAGGGTTACTTAAAGCCTCTTTAAATTCCATAGGTAAATAAGAAATATAACATATTTGCTTACTATATTGTTATATAATGAAATATGACGTTGATAATGGGCTGCAGGAATAAAAGTCTAGGATTTAAATGCCTTGTGGACATTCATGGTCGTAACCGACAATTTTAACCTTTTGTTATATGTCTTGGTAAAAGTTTTATTATGGACTTCACTCAGCACCAATATTATAGTAAGCAAATATTTTATATTTCTTCTACTTACCTAATTTAAGATCTTGAATCTGATCTTGAGCTTGAAATTTGGGTGGCTTTCAGTAATCGTATGGACTATTACTTGCATCACAGGAGAGGACTTAACTGCTCCTTTCCTTCCTCTCTCTGCTGGATAAATGTTGATTTGGCCAAATCTGAATGAAAAAAAAACTGAGTCATGATTTATAGTGATTTTATAAAAATAAATCTGTGCATAAATTTATATAACAAGGTAAATAGAATACTGAAGTCATATCTAGAAGTACAGTATTAACAATAAGATATCTTAAGTCTACAGTGTTATGTTGCTTGACATCAATGCACTTAATGTGTAAAGAGAAGGATGACAACAGTTCCTCTCAGAAATTAGAATCTTTTCCTTTTGAATTTTAAGAAAGCTTAATTTACATTTTTCACAAAATGTGAAAAGTAAAGGTGCCATGAGTGAAGTATATAAATGGATAAAAGGGTACAACAATGGGGATATTAATAAGGTGTTAAATTTATCAGCACAAATTGGATCAATTTTGATTAAAAAAGACATTGGTGAATACTGTGCTAGTTTAGAAATAGGGTTATTGATATATGGGACAAATTCCTGGGAAACCCTACAGATGGAATTGCTGGATTGTGCCAAAGCATAGGTTAGACATGTATGTATGAATGAGTTTGCTTATGTATAAATGGGCATTACCTCCCATAGGCAAATAGGCCTTTTGGAGTTTCCATTTAATCTTCTTAGCATTAGCCATAACAAAGGTCAGCACGTGGCCTCAAACCCTCTTGTTTTATCCTCTGCAAGTTGCTACACATCAGGGAGTTTGTGTGTTCTTGAGTAGTGATTATAGTGGTGTAGGTGATGCATGTTTCAAGTTATTTTCTCTAGTGTAGCTAAGTAATTAAATATATTTTTAAGATTTGTACCTTGGCATGGTTTTTTCCTAGAATACTGGCAATAATTTTATATCCAGGTTAATACTATCAGGAAATTCTTAAGTAATGGAGTGACCCATGGAACCACTACTGTAAGGTAGGTACTGCATATAGATTTATTTATTTTTGCTATACAGTATCTTGTAAAGACAAAATTAATAATGAAGAAAATGAATTAGAATGACCACTTTGGGACTGAGAGGGCTTCAGAAAAGGGATTGGTTGTGTAGTTCGTCAAACACACACACTACAAAAATATTTGAGTTAAATATAACAATAAAGTATAGCACAATAATTTAAAATAAAGCTACTGAATACCATACACGAATATTTGATGTGTTGCTTGATTGCTTCATATAAAATCTTGGAGTAATGTCTAGACTCTAGATGATTACCATATAGGGTATTGGAGTTAATGTGTTGCTGAGGTAGACTCTTGAATTCAAGGCTTCTAAAGAATAGTTTGGCAGAGATATCGTGGTTTCAGCGTTACTAAAGCAGGAATGCTTAGATTTCCAAATGTGAGCATCCTAAATCCAGCAAACAATTGAAAGTGATAACCATTTCAAACCTTACTGTTAATGTTTGAAAAAATAGTGCATATAAGTTGTAGCACGGTATTTCCCTAGTGCTCAAGTCAGTTCTGGATTATGAAATTTAGAATTTCACCCTCAGGACTGTTTGGATACCAGTTCCACTCTTTTTAAGTCGCGGGACCGTATAGCCTTAATTAACAGAGGCATTGAGTTCTTTTCTATGTTTTTTATTTATCACTGCAGTGTTTTGTTCAATCTTTATACTGTACACTCTGCCTGGTAGTCTTCCTGAGAATAGAGACCATGTAAGGCCAATATTTACTCACAAGGCAGACTGTTTTACCATGTTCTGTGCTTGTGTTACACTGAATATTGACTATTTAGTGTGAAGAATTTAAAAATCCTTTATTATACCTTCCTTTTCACTGAGACACCTGGCAAGATTATTTCTGTGGTGGTTTTTCAGGTTCAAAATTATGCTCTAAACTATGAATCAAGGTACCTTTATGGCAGCAGTTCTCTCTCTCTCTCTGTATGCCTATTGCACCTCTGCTCTTTAGTAAGACTATTTTGCACACCTGGCTCATGTTCCCAAAGTCACCCCCAAATTAAACTTATACCAAAGAAAAAATGCATTTAACTGTTAAACAAATCTTCAAAAAATTAAAAATACAATTTGTTATACTGTATATTCAAAGTCGCATGTCACATCATGTGATCTTTAAATTCAATATTTAATGTAAAACTATTTTCAGTTAAAAAGTGTTTTGTTAGCTTAAAAACAAGCCTAACATGAAGGTATTCTACTTCAATTAGAAGCAAAGTTATGAATTTTTTTTTTAGTATGTAAGAAATTTTTTAATTTTTTCACATTGGCAACCCTGCTGTATGAATCTCATGCATCAGTAGTTTGCATCACTGAGGGCTGACATTTTACGTGTGTGTGTAAATCCTTTATCCTTCAAAATTTCATGTAAATTGGAGTTGGTTGGAATAGGAGCTGTGATTATTTACCACCCTATAGTTTCTTTCCAAGGCATTGCTGCATCACAATACACTTTTTTTTAATTTGATATTATAGTAATTTCCTTAATATACATATCTGAAAAAGTTGACAAAATACAGAGGGACTACTATTGGCATGAGAATACGCACTGCTGACTACGTATTGCTGACTACATATTGAGAGATGTGTGGTTTGACATGCGAGAATGATAAGAATTTTGTAATATAACCTATCACTTCTAGAGGTAAAAAGCCAGCGTTGAATGTAATAAAATGCCATTTTCTAGGTGAGACCCAGAGGCTCCCCAGAGCTATTCCGGGTTGATGTGTATATATGTTAGACCATGGCAACGGTCAATCGGTGGAGTTCTATGCCTATCAGGGCCCTCGAGCCAGTACCTGGCCCTCCCTCAGAGAGGCACGAGGAGTAATGGCCTATAGACACCCTCCCATTTAGTTGAAAGCAGTTATGTCTGCCATCTACCAGGTCAGGTATCCGGAAAGGTAGGAATAAAAAAAAACTACAGCTGGTTAAAAATTGCAAACTGAAAGCTGAACAAGCAAGCAGAACTCCCCAATTAGAAAACAAGCAAACAAGCATGACATCACTACAGCCACAGTGCCACTGCCTGCACAGTGTTTTTGATATCCAGCCTCTGAACTGGGGTTGGGTAGCCGGCACGAGAGGTTTGGGGCCCCTCCTTCCCAAAGCTATTAAAATATACAAAAATATAAAATGGAATATACATACATATACATAAATATTTGTATATTATGAATATACATAAAATGGAATATACAAAAAATATAAATTGGAATATACCACATATATACTTATTCATAAGTCAAATATTGACTATAAGCAATAAGTCATATATGTGCTGTCTTGTGCGAGAGCGGGTTGTTGAACATTCAAGCACAACCCAGTATACCTCCGGGGAGCCTCTAGGTCTCGCCTAGAAAATGGCGTTTCATTACATTCAATGTTGACTTTTTACCTCTGGAAGTGATAGGCTATATTACAAAATCCTCATTATCATTCTCGCATGTCAAGCCTGGCCCCGGGCTGGGGTTGGGGGAGTAGAACTACTCCCAGAACCCCATCCAAGTACACTGGTACAATTACTAGACTGCCATGCTTCCAGGCATGCTCGGTAGTGGATTTTATTGCTGCGGCTGCATGAATCTGTGTGGTTGATACACAATATACTATGGTACAGTGCTGTTTATACTGATTAATACACAAATTATTGTATATTGTATAATATAAAAATCAATGCAGAGGACCTTCTGAAATCCAGATTACTGTATATTGTTCTGGACCTGATCTGGATTTGCATGAACTTCAGCTTCAGAACCTTGTCTTTTTTTACCAAATTTTCCTGACTTTTTACTGCAAACTCAGTGAAGATGAACTATTTAACGGTATGCTTAATGGGTTTCCCCATGGCACAAACTATACTTCTTAATATTGCATCCATTTACAAAAATAAGCAAAAAACACATTCAGATTATTGTAATAACAAAATTGCTACAATTTGGATCCAAATTTTTCCCACTATTGGCAAGTGCTATAGCAAAAGGATACCCTGTAATTTCATTGATGTATGCTCAAGATTTTCTATGAAATATTGGAACCTGTTCTAATTAGTAATTGAGGAGTGAGCTATATTGTTCAGTGGTTAACAGTTGGGTTACAACGTATTGGACCAGAGTTTGATTCCTGGACAGAGCGAGTCATTTGGGCATGTTACCTTACATCTAATAGCTCTGTTCATTTTACAATAAGCAGGTAAGAAGAAATTTGTTGGTCATTGGGTTTGGGGGGACAATGTGCCTAATAGATTTCTTGTCCTTGACAATGGGAAACCATAATCATTTTCCAAAAAATATTTCTGGCAATTTATCTGCCTAACTCGAACCTCCACTGAACGACAAAAAATGCACAAGAATAGC